TTATGCAGTCTCAGAAGGCTATGTGGCAAATGGGTTGTGAAAATAATACTTAAATATGTTTTAAGTGGAGAGACAGATATGAAGGAGACATGTTGCCTGCTTTATCTATTTTCAGTTTTTTTAAAGACCACGATTCATGGTCGATCACCACCGACAGTGATGCGGATATGTTAACGTCTGTCAGTGGAGCGAGTCGTTACATGTGTTGTCGTTAGTTAGGAACAATAACAAGCGAGAGAGCCAGCGCATTAAGGGAGGTCCTCCGCTTTATTCTGGCTTTCCGACACGACAACAAAACGCAACGATTTAAATGTATCGAAATAGGTGCAGCCCCTGCAATCTCTTGCTCACGCCACTGCTGATGGAATGGCAGCGACCAGGGCATGCCGGGCAGCGGTCAGTTGGAAGTGGAGGTCGCTGTCCATTGTCCGCTGTCGCTTGCCGGGGTCGCTTGTGTGGAGGAGGTTTCACCCTGGGTAGCGGCACCAGACAGCAGCACGGGGGGTAGGGGCTCCAGTCAAGGGTGCAGCCTCGGCGGTTTGAATTTGTGGAAGTCTCTGTTTGGGGTGAGACTGTGCATCCGACTACGATATGGTTAGAATTGGATTAAATTCAGCCGGAATATTGCGGGACACCGCTCCGGAGAATGATGTTGGCACGCCATATGCACCTCGCCTCATTTTGTTCTCGTCGTACTGCGGTGGCGTGTGTGGTGGTGCGCAAAACAAATGTGCGTGAATAGTCTAAAGGTCAGTGCTAGGTGTCAACTTTCTTGCCCTTAACATAAACTGCCTTTAATAAAGATGCACAAACGCTTGTGACATCAATTCACATGAAACATTTAAATGAAAAAAAAATACTGAGTGAGAAACGAAGGCCCTGGGCTGTGCTTACCGGTCCAGAGACGGACGTCGGTGACCCGTGCCTGGTGGCTTTGCCCCGTGGTTCCGTGCTGGTGTGTGGGTGGTATCCCAGTCCCTTCACGACGCCGCAGCGGCGAGATGTTAATTACCTCGCTTGGCACACAGGAGGTCGTGGATTCGATGCCGACGCTGATGGCTATATATTTGGAGTTTGCACATTCTCCCCGTAGTCGCGTTGATTTTATCCAATTTTTCCATCCACATTTCGGATCATTCATTTAGAGTATTTGGCTGCAATACATTTCCACATGATAATCCACTAAATTGAGCTTTACTTTGTGGCCATTCTCGCTTCTGAAAAAGAGCTTTTTAGCTGAGTAAGCCTTACCTGGTAAAATAAAAACCATTTAGTATAAAACAGTTTTAGAGTTTTTGTCTCCCCTTGGCTGCACCTCGTCCGGCAATGCTGCGGATTTTTCCTGGCCTCCGCTGATTTTCTCTTTGCAGTATTTTTCCGCTGCATCGCTTTTCTCTGACACTCTCTCCATGCCTAAACATGTCAACTTCAAGTAACCTACCTCACTAATTTATGCAAAAAAAAAATCTACGTGAAAAAATTAATGTCATTTGTGGGATGCTGTCGTGGTTTACCAGTAGGTACGGTGAAGTTGTTGCAATCTAACTGCCGGCACGGCGTTTGAGATGGCGAGTGTCGCCTCTGTCCACCCGATAGTGTAAATGGGTTCACCACTGTCAATCGGAAGACCATGTGTGCTGGCGTAAAGTGTGGGTACTCAGAGCTCTTCCAAGACATCTGGTCAGTGTAGAAGAGTAGGCCAAAATACCATCTAGAGGGACTCCATTGAGCTCCCTCTCGGGGAGGGTGCTTCCATCAGCAATGGCATGAACAGAAAAATTGCAGAGCTGCACCTGTACCTATTATCACGGTTCATGCTCTTTCACCTGATAACGCTGCGTTTTTCTGAAGGTTCAGATCCTGGCATGTCAGTGCATTGACAGGGCACTTACTTGCCTTCTCAAGTATCCTTAACCACAGACTGCATATGACGGAGATTAGCGAGCAGAGGTCTTTGAAGGAGGTGCCTTTCGACAGTGAGAACTTGATTGCGGCCATCTTCTGCCAGGCCGTCACCACTGGCTCGACTGCCCAGGTGTGCACTCTCATCGGCACGCGAGGGTGGTGCGACGCCGTCGCCGCACTCCATTTGTCGTGCCAGGATGGGGCGACGTGCGGATTGGGCAAAGCGGGGCCATGTACGCCGTCACGACTGTGGTTGGGCTGCCCGATGGAATCGTCAGAATCAATAATAATCTTTATTTATCCAGGAGAAAGTCGATGAGCTGTGCAGCTCTTTCACCGTGATGAAACCATGGTTGTTGGTAGGAGGGGATCCGGTCACAATATCTTCTTGCCGCTTCAAGACCGGCTGGCTTAAAATAGCCATAAATTGCAGACACAGCTTCCACAGTGACAGAACCATCTTGTAATTCGTTTTTAAATATCGCGGTTTCAAGCTGACTCTGAGCAGAAAGCTGCGTTTCGGGTCTCTGGTAGACAGAAGTGTGAATAGTGAGGCTCTGAGTGACATAAGTCAACTCCATGCACCCTGTTATGTCACTGCTGATACAATCTTAGGATACGACAACAATAAACAAATATACTGCATACAAACATAGGAGAGGAAGTTACATCTTAGTCACGTGTCTAAAGCCTCATGATAAAATTTACATCGCGTGAAATATTGCGCTGTTATTGAGGCGATTTCTCCAATTTGTGCCACAGCTGTGTCAGTCCTCGGGCTCGCTCTTCTCAGTGGTGGCGCATTGCTTTGATAATAACCCCCGACACTTGCCGGTCACGTTATGAATTACTTTGCACATGTTAATGACACATACACAGTGGCACATTCATATCACTGTGATGTCATAGACATAACCTCGTTGCCACTTTGAATAACGGGCAGCAATTGTTTGCCGTATTTTAAAATCACTTACATTTGGAGATTGTGTTCTCTTGTTACAGCTCCTCGAGTGCGTTGCAGTATCTGTAGCGTATGTTTTGAGCGGTTAATGTCTTCAATTCCAGGGTGAAAAATGTATTGGTGCCTCACTCATTTATAATGCCCCTCTTATTCTCTTCTCCACAGCCGATTGAATCGTTTTCGAGCGGTGGCTTTGCATCTTACAGAGCAGAGAGTTAAATATGTAATAAGTGTCTTAAGATGTGTGGGGTATCTATAAATAGATCACCCCTGTATTTTTCATTCTTTTATTTTTGTCAAGTTGTAATGAAGCTCGTTCCACCACTTGGTATCTCGCCTTCATGCTGCTTCCCATGAGCACTGATCTAGTAACGATTTTACGATTATCGCTGTAGCTGATGAATATAACGCCACAAATGTTGACAAAAATTACAATTATGAGAATTTTGATTCAAAGCTTTCGTGACTGCAGGGATTCATATTCTTGGTTCTTTCAGTAAAGTCACGTAGAAGGGAAATAATGACGTTTCGACTGAAACACAAGCATCATCAGGTGTGAAATCCACAGCAAGAACATTTGAAATTTCACACCTGATGATGATTGCTTGTGTTGCAGTCGAAACGTCGTGAGAATTTGTATTGTTTTATATTTGTATTATTTTATTATTTCCCTTCTACGTGACAATGATGACAATGTTGATACTGTTAATGCTGCTGCTAAGGATGCTGAATCAAACGAGTTTTGTGAATCTGACAGTGCCCTTTATCAGCGAGAGGTGGCGAGTCAAATGACGACGCGTGATTGCCACCAGTGGAATTGGCAGGCAGGCCACGGCAGGGGGAAACAGAGGACCCCCTCTACCCCTCCATCACGACGTGGGTCATAGTCGGTTCACGTCAAGTTCGACGGTCGCGTGTACATATTAACAAATGTTCGTGGCCAAAGTGATTTAGGGTAGATATTGGTTCAAACCACGCAATGGCAGTCTGCTACGTAACCTATTCCGGTTTTATTTTGTTGCATTTTTTTGTATTAGTATTTTATCTTTCTGGTGAAGTTCAATGTTTAGATCTTTACTGCCGTCAAAAGGATCATATTTTTATTTTATTAAAACGTTTACTTGGAAAATCCCTTGAGATGGAACATCCCGGTTGCCAGAGTGCGCAGGGTTTATCTGCGCCATGCTTTTTTTTTCTGTGCGCATTTGCAAGCGCCTTCATTTGACGGAGCGTGCAAACGCAGTTGGAAGTGAACGACGCGTCCGCTCGCAATGCTGCCGCTTCTGCGTGCAGGTGCACATCACCTGCTGCTGACTTGCAATATGCTTCATCCCAGCCAGTGTGGTGGTGGGGGGGGGGGTGCCCCTCCATTTCTCTGAACAGCGCAGGGTCTGTTGCTTTCAGCATTAACCCCGTGGGCGTTCGAAACCCCCTCCCGGTCACGTTTGATCGCAGTCGACCAACATCTACATGGTGTCGCTTGGCGGCCAGGAAGTGGGGAGTCTGAGCGGTGGGCACCGCGTTTTCGGGTGGGCCCATTGCATGGTGCGCGGCGAGTTCGTACGCTCGTGCGGGCCTCGGCGACGGTGTGCGTCTGACTTTGTCGGAGATGCTGCGGTGGAGCGGTGACTTGGCGGAGCGGTCCTGTGTTTTCCCGCTCGTTCGCAGAGGTTGTGCAGTTCGTGTTTATGGCCCAGCGGCCGCCCTGGTTAATACTTATTATGAGTATTATTAATTAATACTGCAGGTATATTAGCCGTGAACAGTGCGGTCCGTCTGCTTCGCACTGGCCGTCAAAAATCCGGTGATGATTTTTCAGAAAAGGGTAGGCCACACGTGCTGGCGTCATGCTACAAATTTGTGAAAAATGTGAAAGTCGCGTAAAACGACATGGAAACAATCGGCCCCTACCGCGTTAACTCCTGCAGGCTTGTAGAACAGCGGCTTCCTTGGTGATAACCGCGCGCTGTGAGAATGGCACGAACACCAAATGTACAAATGATTGGATTTCTAGATGGGTGAAGCAGGTGTATCGGAACTGCGGGAGTCGACACGGCGGTTTGTTCGCGCGCCGCATGCCGTCTTGACAATCGATGCGTGTGGTGTGTGTGGACTCTTTTGCGTGCGTGCACAGCCATCGTGCGCTGCCCAATCTGCCACCAAGGATGCCAGCCCAAGGACATCGTGGACAACTACTTTGTGACAGACGGCTCAGAGGGGGGAGTGGCGGGCACAGAGAACAGCTCACAGGTAACAAGGGGGGCGGGGGGTGGGCTGCTCACTTTGCCGGCATTCATATTGTAATGAATTTGACTTCTCTGAGCAGCTGGCTTTGCGCGGAATGAGCACGATGTGTTCTGTGAGCCGAGGGCTCTTCAACTGGAGGCCCACGGGCCACGTCCTGTTGGAGTGGCCCACCGAGCATCATGACTCGCCCAGACAAAGACAGAGAGACGAGCGGCAATGAAAGTGAGATGAACAAATATATTGACATGGACATGAAGCACGAGCCTTCCCATTATTCCAAGTGCCTCTTTGGGATATTTCTGTGCGTGAGCCGCAGAGTGGCACAGTAGTAACACTCGTACCCCACAGAAGAAGCGCCGGGGTTCGATTCCCGACTCGGACTCCTTTCTGCTTGGAGTTGTATATGTTCTCCCCCTGTTCTGCAGAGTGTGAATGAGTGTGTGGAGTTGGTATGTTCTCCCCCTGTTCTGCAGAGTGTGAATGAGTGTGTGGAGTTTGTATGTTCTCCCCCTGTTCTGCAGAGTGTGAATGAGTGTGTGGAGTTTGTATGTTCTCCCCCTGTTCTGCAGAGTGTGAATGAGTGTGTGGAGTTTGTATGTTCTCCCCCTGTTCTGCAGAGTGTGAATGAGTGTGTGGAGTTGTATATGTTTTCCCCCTGTTCTGCAGAGTGTGAATGAGTGTGTGGAGTTTGTATGTTCTCCCCCTGTTCTGCAGAGTGTGAATGAGTGTGTGGAGTTTGTACGGCTTGGCAGCGTCATGTCACGTGTGACTGCTTGGCAGCGTCATGTCACGTGTGACATGTTATGATATCACATGGCGTCATGTTTACACGTGTGACCAATAATCTACCCCTTCCTTGTGTTTATGCCCCTCATATCTCCGTTGTTGTTGTTACATCTCGCTCAACTCTCTCATCTGCTTCTGTCGGTCATTTCTCGTTCACCTCGTTCAAATGCATCTCTGCGTCTCTGCCAGGCATGTCTCTCGACAGGCCACTAAAACATGCGCAGGGGCACCTCGTGAAATAACGCTTGGCTAATAGAAACAAAGAAGGCAGAGCAATCTAGATGAAATGTAGAATTCAGAACCTACGGGACACGCATGATGCTCATGGCGTCAACAAACAGGCAAGAAAACGAGTTGATTCATTAATTAAATCACGACCTTGAATCGTGACAGTTCATCAAATAACCTGGCAGCGACGGTGAGGCATTACATACCAAATCACTATTTAGCTTAAAATGAATTGGTTACCAAAGCGACTGAATGTACCACAGTGGGGGTGAGCAGGGGCCGATCGGGGGCGCTCCAGTTGCTGGGGAAAATGTTCCGAAACCCACGTCACGTGAGTGACCTGGGTGCAGAGTAGAAGGTTTGTTGCCCTCGCTGATTGGCTCATTGTCTTTTAGAAACCGCCGCCCGAGGTGGCTCTTGATCCCCGCGTGAGTGAAAGTCGCCGGGCGTGCGCCGTGCCGCCGCGGGCGGGCGGGCAGGTGGGCGGGCCGATCGATTGTCGCTCACACAATTGAAAACCTCCGATCGAACGCGGTCCAACTCTGGACAAAGGGAGCCATCTCTTCTTTGCGCCGCGTAGAGCAACCCTCCTCTGATTGCCTTTGAAGTGAGAGTCTGTCTCCGCGTGCCATCGCGGTCGCCGCCGTGGGCACACGCGCACAAAGGCTGTCAGGTTTTGGAGACCGTGCTATGAAAAGCAGGCTTTGAATCACACTTAAAGCTTCATTCTTCAAGACGCAGCAGTCCTCCAAATCAATGAAACTTACATTCACATCTTTGTGAGTACATTTTTTGGACCGCCCGTCAGGTTTACGTCCGCAGGTGCTCTCCACCGAGCACTGCGCCGCCGCTCCACAAAGTGAAGAACAACGCAGACTCGAGAGTGCCGACAAAGTGACTTTCATCTCGTAGGCAGGCACCAAGCCTGTGGGCCCGCAATTGGATCTGTGTTCTCAAGTTCACAATGTCATTACTCAATTAGAATATTCATAACATTCATGGCCCCTGACTGCAAAAACTTAACAGGACCCTCCTGAAAAGTCATGAGGCTTTCCTAGGTAAGCACGTTGAATCATCTCAGCCTTTTACAGAATGTAAAATAAAATTAAAAAATGTACTGCCCTTTTGTAAGCCCCTGCTGGGTGAAGGTCATGGGGGTTGTTCGACCTTCTCTGTGATGGTCACGGAACTCAATTCAACCTCTTCCTGGTGTGGTCACGCTGGTTTGCTTGGCTCAATACTTGTGCTATTCAAGCGTTCTGCACCCACGAAGCAAAGGAATCGATGTATTGACTGCGTGATAGATGGCAGAGGCGCTCGTGTGAATAAGTTGATATCGATGTCGTGCAATTTCTTATCCTGTCCTTCGCCACGCCGTGCTCTTCCCTGACCCCTGACCTCCGACCCGCTCTTGGCCATTTACGGGGCAGCCGTGCACGAGCTGCGACGACGGTGCGGACGCCGAGGGGTTCTGCGTGGAGTGCCTCGAGTGGCTGTGCCGCACGTGCATCGAGGCTCACCAGCGCGTCAAGTTCACCAAGGACCACGCCATCCGGCGCAAGGACGACGCTCAGGACGGTGAGTGTCCAGGATTCCACGACAACACAAATCTGTGATCCGTGACCCACGACGCTCGAACCATTTGGTACAAAATCTGTGCGTACTCTAATTTGCATCAATATCCAATACCCGCTTGCGTGTATTTTTATCACGAGACAAGATGTGAATTGCTCTATCACCCACCTCGCTATTCAATGGATTGTTATTATTCATCCTGTTCATGAATCACGTCACCATCGTGCAAGTATAAACTTTTTCGGACGCTGTCTTTCCGACAGCCCTGTTCTTCACCTGAGGACGGCTGCTTGTGTTGTGGCCGAAACGTCGTGAGAATTTTATTTTATTATGTTTTATTTATATGATTTTATTATTTCCCTTCTACTTGACTTTACCGAAAGAACCAAGAAGATGAATCCCTGCAGTCACGAAAGCTTTAAATCGAAAAGTATAAACTTGTGCCCGCAGAGCTTAGGAAAACCAACTGCATACCACTCATAGATGAGAAAATATTTTGAAGATTAGAATACGTTTCAATCAAAATATTGTCAAAATTTGGTTGTGTGCAATCTTTTTAGCGGTGCATTTGAACTGGCCGTGAGTGTTGCTTGTATGTGTATTCCCGTATCACGTGAAAGGAAAGTGACGCAATGAGCTCATGTGCAGGTACCAAGACGGTGAGAGGTGGAGTTCTTCATCCAGCAGTGGATTAATCATGGCTGATGATGGTTATGATGAAGAAGATACAACTGGGAAAACGTTGAATGGCCTGTTTTGTATATATTGTTTTCGATGAGTAAGCGCAGAGCAAGGATCAACGTCCCGGCCAGCAGATCAGCACAAGTAGTGACGCCGTGCAGAAGCAGGCTTACCTGCCAACTCGTCTTATGCCCTCCGTGTTAATCCTGCGTGCCTCCTGAGCCAACTGCGGTCTAAATAGCACCGGTTGCACGGGCTAGAGGTGGGGGGGAATGGGCGGGCGACAGGGTGGGAGGGTAGAAGCCCCGCCCGCGCGTTGACTGACGGGCGTGTGTCTCCCTGCCCGGCTGGCCTGCAGATGCGGCGGGCATGGCCACGCTGCGGCCCGTCTACTGCCCCGTCCATCGCCGGGAGCCGCTGAAGCTCTTCTGCGAGACCTGCGACCGCCTCACCTGCCGGGACTGTCAGCTGCTGGGACACAAGGAGCACAGGTTCGGCACAAGAGATTTCCTCCTGCTGATGCTGCTGCTGCTGATCATAATCCTCCTGCACCTCCGGATCGTCGTCACACCTTATCTTCATCCCGCTCCCGATAATCCTCCCGCTCCTAATCTTAATGCGCCGATTCGTAATCTTCCTCTTTACCCTCCTGCACGTAGATTCATCCTCCTGGGAGGCCTGCGGTCTGGCACCAATAAAATACACAGCAGGCAAAAGATCCCGCGTGTAGACAACAGAAGCGGGGAGCCCTCGGCCCCGGGGGCCATTTTTACGGGCTACCACTTGGAAATGGCTCGCAAATGATATCCACACGGTCAGCATCTTAACTGCACTAATCGGGTACTAGAGGGGGATGTGCCTGGCCTAGCAAAAACATTCCGGGCCTTTTGCATTGACAGAAGACACTTTGAGGCATGGTTAAACTGTGGTCCCCGTCAAAGGTCCTCTCTGGTCCTGAGGAAGAGGTTCCCCACCCTGGCTCTATAGAATAGACTGCTGGAGGGGGAGTTACTGTTAGCGAGCACCCGTTGAGGTGGGAATGGCGCGCGGGGAGCGGTGTGTGGCGGAATGTCGGCCGCACCACCAGGACGATGGGCAGCCTCGTTTTTGACGCATGCAGGTACCAATTTGTGGAGGAGGCTTCGCAGCAGCAGGTGGTGATTATCGAGACTCTTACGGCCAAGCTGCAGGAGAAGAAGAACTACGTGCATTTTGCCGCCATGCAGGTGCAGAACAGGTGAGAGGCACGAGCGGCGGTGATGCGCCGGCGTGAGACGATGCGCTCATCCCACTGGGGTCAAATTCTCTCTAGTATTTGACCCCCACCCCCCCCCCCCCCCCGTGTGGTGGTAGTTTAACCCCCCCCCCTACCACCAGCCGAATTGGGTTATTTGGGCATTCGTCCAAATACAGCCACAAGCCATTTCTGAACGAAATTGCACGGAACCTGGATAGAGCCGTTGACCCTAACCCACAGAGTGCTCTCTCACCACAGGGGGCAGGGAGGGGGTGGGCTGGGTGGGGGGGTAATTTTCCAGTGAAGGAGTCATTACTGAACCAGAATTTGGACCCCGGGGTTCAAATAATATCCAGTATTTGGAATCCGGGGTCCAATTTCTTTGGGGTCAAAATACTCTTTCAAGCTGCTGGTGCGTGCGCTTGCTTGAGTGTTCGCCCCTCTTTGCCCACCGGGTGATATTAACAGCGGTTGGGAATCAAACTCTTATCACTGTGTCCATCGCGCAGTGCGCCAACCACTGTGCCATGTCTCCCCATGTTACGAATTGTCTTTATTAATTAATTCAAGAAAGCCTTGGTCAGGCTCTGGTAGTTCTTTCAGAATGTCTCGTCTGTTATTTTCATATTTTTTACGAATCAGTTTCCTTGCGGATCCGTTTCTGGTCACATGTAGACGGAGTCACTGACCCTCGACGAGTTAGGAGTGACGAATAATTAAACCAGCTCGCTCCTAAATGTATTATTAATTTGCAAACACCGTTAATAACCTACCCACGGATTATTGGGAGTTAACTGTTGATCTCGCCCAGCAGCCTTGGGGCCCGGTGGGCTTCAGGGGTTCACATTAACCCACCCATGAATTTTCATTTACTTCATTATATTTCCTCACTGAGTCTGAAGATACTATTTGAGGAGGGTCCTGACACATGTTTTTCGCAGTAGGGGGCAACATTGCTACATATAACCTAAGTGAGTATGGGAGGAAACTAGGGAACCAGGAGAAACCCCATACAGACCTGGAGTGAACATAGAAACTCGACACAGACAACCAACCCAGGTGCTTCTTGCTGCCAGAGGCACGAGTGTTGCTACCTTTCCACCGGCCTGCCGCCCTACGAGACAACTGAATGTCGTGTTTGCCCGTGTTTGCCCGTGTGCTCCGTGTCAGACTGAACGAGGTCGTGGAGGCCCACAAGAAGGTGGAGCACGACATCCGGGTGGCCGTCTTCACGCTCGTCAACGAAATAAACAAGAGGGGCAAGTCGCTGCTGCAGCAGCTTGAGGTGATTGCGTCCGTCTGCCCGTCCGGCTTCCCCATTGCCACATCGTGCATCCACACTCTCCCCTGTGCAGTGTTGCCACCTCCTTCAAGTGGAAGGTCGTCAAGCGGACCTCAAGGAGTCGCTAGTTGCCACAAGATTAACCTTTTCAATTTGTCAAAAATGTAATTTGGCATTTTGCCAAGTTCTACACATGACAAAACGATATAGGACCCTTAAAACACAAAGCAGAAATTGTTCCTCAATCTGCACCGTGTCCGTGTCCCAGAAAGTCCGCCAGGGAAACCCGAAAAGTTGTTTGACTTCGCGACGAAATCGCTGAGTTGGCAACACCGCCCCTGAACCTCACTTCCTCATCGCCACAGAATGTTGTTGCTAACCTCATTGGTGGTGTGCAGCTACCCTGGGCGGTCGATCCTCGCGTCATCGCCATCATTTTAATCATTTAATTGCTCGGGTAAACAAATCTCAGGGTCGCCCATGCGGGGACATTGGGGGGAGCGCGTTGGACAAGCGCGGAGCATCGATTGGGTTATGGATTTCCGGAACGTTGGTTTGCATTCCTGGTCCCGCCGCGATCCCGAGTGAATAAATTATTGGCGATGTTTTGTTTTTTCACGGCATTGGGGGGGAGGCCGGTGGCTTGGTTGTTTCCGTCGTTTCATTGCGTTTACGACATCGCTTCGGTCCCCCACCCCTGGCGCCATCGCCCGCAAGCCCTCTCTTGAACTCTCCCCATTGGAGCTGCGCGTTACAAAATATGGAGAAGCAATAAATGATGGAGTGCTGAAATCGTCTCTTATGCAGGCACGAGGGGGATTATTACATCGCGGGACCGTGAGAGGTCGTGACAAATTGGGTAGGCCTCCATCCAGCAGTGGATTGATCACGGCTGAGATGAATAATGTACGCTAAGAAAAGGGATTGTTTGTTGAATTGTTTTTCGATTCACGTCACGAGCAGATTGACCCATGAACCCCGGAGCTAATCGGCAACAAGGACCTTGGTGTGTGAAGTGAGTGCCTGTCGCGGTCAGGGTCAGACGGCTTGTCTCGTGACCACAGCTGGGCCCAGCTACTGCCAGAGGATTGGCTTCCCTCCAGCGGGAGGTGCCAATGCCTGCCCCATCTTTGTTTTGTTAAAACTGCTGTTTGCACAGGTGCTACTGATTGTTGCTGGCCGCTTGAGTTTTATGTCTGTGCTCAGCAACTGTGTAAAAACTTTTTTCACAAAATTATACCAGGTGCAAAATTTATGCACTTTGTTCCCTATATATCAGGGTTTATTGTCGTAGTTGTGGCGATTGTGCCTAAGTGGGAACCACTGAGTGCATTGCAAATCTTGGGCTGGATCTGATGTGTGATTTGGGAAGATCGCCTGGGGTGAGGATGGTTCTCTCGCTATTTCATGGACTTCCTGTTATCTTAACTAACCCTAAAGATTCATATTAGCCAACCGATTAGCACGTTTGCGAAAGAAGTTCAACATACATTTGTGGGTCATGTATTGGTTTGCATGCTGTGCTGTGAACCCCGATACCTGAGTCCGATTACCGGAGACGGCTAACATCGGTGCCGATTGATATCCGAACGCGTCCCACTATTTACCAACCCACACTGACCAGCGTGGCAAAGTACGCTCAAGCATCCCTCATGACGAACACAGCGTGGGGATGCCTTCATCCAGCAGTGGAATGTCAAATAACTCTAAAAGTAATATTTGACAGCTGATAATGTTCCTATGGCAATACTCACCCCTGCAATAAGGAATATGGAACTGTCACAAATTGCTCTGGGCTGCCAACAGATGAACACAATCCCGTGCTGATTGCGCAGGAAACCGCTTTGTCACTTTGTCTCCATTATTATTCTGGTGATGACCCCCCCTCCCTGCCTCCCACCTCCCCACCCCTCCCCACTCCCCCCCCTAGTCGGTGACACGTGAGCGGCAGGCCAAGCTGGGCCGCCAGCGGGACGAGATTGGCGAGCTGGCGCGGCACGTGGAGCACGTCCTCAGCTTTGCGCGCTTCGCCGTCGCCAGCGGCAACAGCACCGCCCTGCTCTACAGCAAGCGGCTGGTGAGTGGGCCCCGGGGTCACAGGCTGGGAGAGTGCACGGCCTCGGGTTGCCACTTGTGAGGGACATAATATGCAATCGTTTTTGTTGTTGTTCTCGGTTCCGCCCCCTCTGCTCCCCAGCTGCTCCTGGCCCAGTCGCCGCCTCTTCCATGATCTCTCTTTGCTTCTCCTCCCTCTTCTCGGTCTCCGCGCCGGAGTTGATTTCGTCTCTCGCTCTCATCAATTGTTTTCACGACGCGTCTAGCAGATTTACACTTGGTTCGGTTTGCACGGGACTAAGCATCTCATCGTAGTAGAATAGGGGACAACTACATGCAATTGCATTGTCCAGAGGAGTGTGTTATTATTTGCCTCGGCAAAAAGGACAATCCTGGGAAAACCAGGACAGGTGGCAACCCTCGGGCAGGCAGCAACTCCCCCCACACCTCCGATAAGCACGGTTGATACACGTGAGAGCTTGGTGAGGGGTGACGATGAGGCTCAGCTGGGTGATGGGGGAGGCATGGGAAGGCTGGAGCGGGAAGAGTTGGCAAAAGTAGTGCGTAGTGAGTAGCAAGGACTAGAGTTGGCGAAACGTTGCCAAAACTACGGCAAAAGTTGTCCGGTGGTGAGGGTTTTTACGCACGGGGCACGGTGTTGTGGGCAGGGCTCGTCCAAATTGCGAGGCTGGGATTAGTCACATTGAGAGCCGAGGTCGTGGCCTTTAAGACAGGGTTGTGCAGCATCCTTACGCTAATCTTGGATGGTTTGCAGAGTAAGGGCGCCTCTCGAAAAAAAACCCATGTTTGAAAAACATCGAAACGGGCGCCAATGTGCCCAGAGAAGAAAAGCAAACGTGCCTCATTTCGAAAGTGGGGCCTAGCCGGGCGCTTCCGCACACGCCCGCCTGCTCGCTCGCAGAACATGTCTGCCGGGGAGGGGGCGCGGGGAGGCAAACAAAGCAAGAAAAAAACAACAGCCGCAGGAGGCTTGGAGTCGCTGCTCTTTAAATGGCAAAGTGGCGTCAAGTGGGATTCACGCGCACGGATGTGGTTCGGTTTTGTGAGGCCGGTGAATGGGGCATGCGTGCGTGTTTCGTGTGTGTGTGTTGTGTGGTTTGGGAGTGGTGGTATAATGGTCCGTGCACTATGTTACAAACCCAGCAGCCCAAAGTCAATTCACAGCCATAGTCAACATCAGTTTGTGATTATTTGAACCGGTCCTGCACGTTACTTGGTCGACTCAGCCTTAAATGAGTTATTGCTGTAATGTGTAAATATCGGCACTGGGGAGACAAAGGTGGCCACACCACTCCTTCATTCGTCGTCATCTAATAGAACTTTTCACCAACAGCCTCTAATGTATGAGTGTGTGAACCAGTAATTGAAGGGCTGTTTGAGAAATTGCATTATGCTTATGCAATAAAAAATAGACACGAAGTAATAGCTTGTTAATTTACTCAATTTAAATTGCTATTTTTTTCATTCCATCTGCAATTACTCGAGCTGAAAGTTTTAGTGGCAAGGTAAAAAAAAGCAAATTGATTGTTACAGCTTAATGTGATATTTTGTGATAAATTTGTCGTAACTGCTTTTTGAGTCATGAAATAGAGCTGGTGGGAAATCCCGCAGGAGGGGGGAGTAAATCTCGTCTCATTAAAGCAATGAAACCGCATGTGATCGGGAAAATAAGAAATCGATAAGAGAATCTCACCGCTCTGCCACGCAATTTATGTCACCCAAAGTAAACAGTCAGGGTGCTAAATTACCCGAGCGCAGAAAGACGGCCACCCGCATCTACCACACACAATTCTCGCTGCACGCCTTCCTTGTCGTGCAATATCTTATCATCGTTGTCATCATCATCGTCGTCATGGCCATCATCAATCCGCTGCCGATTGAAGCCATCGCCAAGCATCGCCCTCTCCTCACAACCCTGCCATGCAATGATCCCCCCTGGCACCTGCGCACCAGCCGATTTGAATGTTCAATTAATAATAATAAATTACACCCCTTTATCAATCTGCTGTTGGATGAAGGCTACCTGGGGTACCTGGGGGGGACGTTGATTGACCATACATCCCGCTGGTCAGTGCGGGTTGGCGAAGGAGGAATGCCCAGGAACCGGTTCACATGTTAGCTGTGACTGGGAATCGATCTCAGGTTTACTGTGTTGAACTTACAGTGCGCTAACCATCACTTCACCTTCATTGTAGGTTACATTGCGTGCAATGAGAGAAAGGCACACTGTGCCATTTCATCTCTCCGTGTCACTGGGCAGTTGGCCAGCATCCTAGGCACGACATGAAATTAATGAATAATTGATGTGGATTTGTGTCGAGTCGCTCATCATCTTTGATGAGTTTGTGATCGGCGTGCGTGCGTGTGCACCCCCGCCGCTCGCTTGTCTCTTCCACTCGCGTCCTCTCGTCCGGACGTTCCGCGTGCGCATCGCCACGCTCGCGGTTTCTGATGGCGCTCATGTCGTCGGCAGGTGACGTACCAGCTGCGTGCCATCCTAAGGGCGCGCTGCGACCCGGCGCCTGTGGCCAGCAGCGGCGTCAAGTTCCACTGCGATTCCTCCTTCTGGGCCAAGAACGTCCTCAACCTCGGTACGTCGCCAGCGCCCAGCGGGTGAACAAATCTCGGGGAACGGATCCGTGCCGCTGTGCGGCAAGTCACAGCGATGTGCCGCTCAAACGAGTACTGAGGCGGTGCTAGTTTCGCCTTTGCAGCCCTGAGACGGTGACGGAAATTCCACATTCCTGTGGCAGGTGGCGGAGTCTTTCCACGAGACAGCCGCTGTTGACTCCCCCCATTTGACAACTGAGAGGGGAGGGATGATGGGCTGAGCCAACCCCCAACCAGTATTTGCGTGTGATTTTTTTTTTTTTTAGATGGGTGGCAGTTTTAATTCCTTTGATTTATTAACATGGGATAGCTGGGTGGCTCAGAGTAGTCATGTGACCACTGTCTGTGATGTGATTGGAAGTTGCCAACCCTTTTGCCCACTATGGCAGCTGTAATAAAATGTGTCCAGATTGAGGAAATTACACTTTTTGGCAAAGATAAATGTCAGGGCAACTTGCCAGCAACAGTTGCTGGCGGTCCTCGGGCCACATCTGGCTCGGGATGGCCTTCGGAGTGGCCCACCGAGTCATGGCGCACCAATATAGAGGGCTCGCTGAGATTGTAAAGAGATACGGGTTATTGAGATGATGGAGATACAGAGATGAGAGAGCTGTAGACGAGTGATACATCTGAGATAGACAAGGTACATACGGGCGATCTTGGAGAGATCGCCCGTATGTAGAGGTTAGCAGTCACGCGTGCAGTCGTCATGACCGTCACGACGCCACGTAACATTCTAACGGCTGTGTACGTGACACGGACGTCACGTGGCCTGCCAGCACGTGTACATGTTGTGATGGGACCCACTGGAAAAATCTAATGGAAAAACCCTGCGCGAACGATTCCTCCCGTCCTTGCGTCGACGTGTGCGGCGGCTGCGTGCAGGCACCCTGGTGGTTGAGAACCCTCCTCCCGGAGCGGTGCACGCGTTTCTACCCAACATCGCGCTTGCGCAGGCAGGCCGGCCGCCCCCCGGCACCGTGCCACACATGCCGGCCTCCCCCTCCGCGCCGGGCCCCCCTCTCCCGGCCTCGCTCGCGGGGCCGGGGGTCCCGATGCGTCAGCAGGCGTCAGGGGGAGGACCCCTGCAGCCCCCGCCACTGGGCCCGCCGGGCTCCGGGCAGATCAACTTGGCTCAGCTCCGTCTGCAGCACCTGCAGCAGCGGGCCATCAAGCAGCATCAGCAGCAACAGCAGCACCAGCAGCAGCAGCAACAGCATCAGCATCAACAGCAACAGCAGCATCAGCTGCAGCAACAACACCAACAGCAGCAGCAACAGCAGCAGCAACAACAGCAGCAACAGCAGCAACAGCAGCAGCAGCAACAGCAGCAGCAACAGCAGCAGCAGCTTCGTCTGGTGGCCAGGCCTCAGCCATTGCAACCCCACCGCAGAGTTTCTTCGTCTGCGTCCGTGGCGGCCGCTACCGCCCTTGCTACCGGGCAGCCGGCCTTCGCCACTCTCTCTCCGACCAACGGCGGGCAGGTGCGCGGGCGCTACGAGGGGTGGGACGGTGCGAGATGCCCGAGCGGCTCGGAGGGCAGAGTGCAGAGCCAGTTTCAGCAGCTTGAATCGAACTCGGACAGCTCGGAGAATTAAACGTACCGTTTTGCGGAAGGGAAAGTGCGCTGCCCTCTGCTGTGTAGACCACTTCTTGTGATGGCGTCTCTGATATCCGCTTCCGTGGACCGTTTTGTGACGTGACGGGTCGCCACTGTTCTGCGAGATCCAAGTGGATTCTTTGACGCAGACGGCACGATCGCGATACATTTCAATAACCCCAAAAAGTGTATAAAAGCGCACATTTGGAACCTATGTTTGTCGAAATTTCATTGTCCGTCTATGTACGTCGACGCCTGCCATGTACATTTGCGTGTTGTGTGTTCTCGGTCATGTGTGCAGCCACCACGGCTCATCAGCGTGCAGTCCTTCCACCGAGCCACGCAGCACTTGTCGGCCACGCAAGCTCGCGCCGTCGCTCAAGGCGCCGGCAGCGTCCGCATCGGGGGGCAGCAGCAGCAGCAGCAGCCTCCGGGACCACAACAGCAGCAGCCACAGCAGCAGCAGCAGCAGCGGGCACCACAGGGGCCCCCGCAAAACCCGGCACACTCGCTCCGACAGGTGAGGAGGAGGGTAGCACGGGGACTTGGATCGCTAGAGCTAGGAACTGCCGGCAGTGGGAAGGGGAGATGGGACAGTAATTAGAAATGAAGTAGAAATAAAATGACAATGATCACAATTAAATTAGCTCTTGTGCAGGTGCTCGGTGTATTAATGTTTTCATATTGTAGGATTGCGAGCAATATCTGTAGATTGCGGAGGCCTTCATCCAACAGTGGATTGACCATGGCTGAAGATGATGATGATGATGATCAATAATTACAAGCCTTTGTCGACCTCCACTGCTGGATGAGAAGGCCTTCTGAATACCGTGTTGGTCGTGGGGGTTTGTTTGAACATTCATCACACCGGTCAGTGTAGGTTGGGGAAGAGGGGCGCCGCGGAGCCGTTCAGATATCACTCGCGCAACTGAGGTTGGCCGTGGCCGCGAATCGAACTCGGGTTGCCTGCTTCATAGTGCTGCAGCGAGCCTTCTACAGAACGGGAGCGCGGCAGTGAATGAGAGAATGGATGGAGATGAGCAGAGACGGGTTGACAGGCAAATCTGGGGGGGGGGGGTGGCGAGTGAAGAAAATTGTGAGATCGAGCTTGAGTCTGGGATTCGTAGCCACAAGTTCAGCGGGAGATGCAAAATTTTGGCGTAAAAGTAAAACAGTTGAAATGTTCCTTCTTCTCATCGGAGCCCTCGGTGAGAGAACTCGCACGAGCTTGTGGTCGGCCACTCGGAACGCGAGGAGAGCCCCCAGGGTGGTGAGGTCACGGAGCGCGAGCGGGGGAGGGGGAGACGGTGAAAGTGGGAGGCGGTTCACAGGGACATGGGAGGAGCTCCTATAAGGACGGGGCGTGGGGTCACCACGGGGTCACCACGGGGTCACCTCGGTGTCACCTCGGTGTCACCTCGGTGTCGCCGTGAGGGGAGGGCCCGGGGAGTGCCACGACAGCCTTGTGTTGTTACGCAGCGACCCTCGTGTGTGGCGCGCGTCTGCTATGTCGTGTACAAATACAGCTGCTGCCTCTTTACAGTCCACCGCTGCCGGCGCGTCTAGGGGGCTGTCTCGCTTCACCAAGCTTGGCCGGTTCTGGTTGGTCACGGTCGGCAGTGTCGATGCTGATATGGTTGCGTTTAATTTGTAAATGCTGCCGATTGTTATTTTCTCTGAAAGAATACGTGAACTTCTGAGTTGTGAAGTAAATATTTTATGGTTCAACCCCAGCGTGTTCCACAAAGGCTTGTGAAATACAATGGTGATTTGGCAGACATTTAATTAATTCCAAGCAAAACCTCAATGTAGAAATCTGACATGAATAAAATATACATTTAGAATAATGGACACAGCACTTCTCACAAATTTAAAGACATTCTGTGTCCCGGCCGCCTGACCTCTCGCTCACGTGGCCGGATCGTTGCCGGGCCCCACGCTGTACTCGACCCGCGACCGCTCGCGTGGGGGGGGGGGGAGCGGGGTCAACCCGCTAGCGCAGCCACACCCTCAAGGTTACGTCGCGCTCTGCTCAGCGCTTTTATTCCTCGGCCCGGGGGCCCGCACGGCGCACGCTCGGTCCCCACCGGGTTGACCGTGTGCGTAGTGGGGTGCGGAGAGTGCACGCCGGTTTGTCCCGTTAGGCTTGGCAGCATTTTAAACGGCCCGGGCACCGCCGGGGGCCACGTTGGGCTCACGGCGGGGAATGGGCGGGTGCGGGGGGAAGGGAGCGGTGTGAGCATACTTTAGTCTCGCTTCGTTGGGCGAGGCGAAACGTACGCCCATGCACCAGCGCTCGCACACGTACTCGCGCCCATAAACCCACACACCGCACCTAACTGCTGCTTACCGGTTTGCTTGCCGTGCCCATTAAGGCCGTAACGTTTCATTTTTATTTTTCCCGCATTTGCCCTCTGCGTTGACGATGCTCGGAAGCGAGTAAGGTCTCCGCGTGAAACATCATCGTCTGCCTTGGAACGAAGGCTTGACAAACATCGTAACGTATAAGTGGATCTGTAAGTTTAGTCATTTGTTGTACAAGATAAACCTACAAGAATGCACGGCTCATCTTAATTCAAGGGCGAGTTGCCCTAATGGACATTAAAACTTCCTGCTTGCACTTGTGAAATTCTAAGTGTCTTTAATCTTGGCAATATAGTGTTGAGCTTGGAAAGTGCTTGGCTGGGCGGACCGCCTTGCATGGCAGGTTGTTACAGGTGGTTGCGGGGCTACCTGGTGGGCAGGAGTTGGCACCCCCCATCATGTGACCCGCACCGATCCTCGCTACCCACATGGCTTGGGGAGGCTCTCATCCAGCAATGGATTGACGAAGGGGCTATGCGTGTGCACGCGTACAACGGTAGAAGTGACTTGGAGCATTGGAGTGGCCGAGACGTCCAGTCCACTTAAAATACCGTTATATTTCATTTCATATTCATATGAGGAGCAGTGGCACAGTGATTTGTGCACTTCCCTACGACTGACATCAGTGGCGAGTGGTGGACATCCCCCCCCACTGCCCCCCCCCCCCCCCCATTCACGAACGCAAACTGATCAGCGTAGTGAAGTATGGTCAAACAACCGGTGGCTAACACAGTGTCGGGAAGACTTCATCCAGGCAGTGTGCTCACAAGGGGCTGCACGTGTTATCGTGTCGTTCACTGAGTGCGCATTAAGGTGAGTAGAGCGAGGCTATGCATCGCAATCGGCTGATTCTGGAAGATGCTGGAGTTGATTTGCTGTGACAGTGTCGCGTTGTGGCACGGCGCACGACGTGATGATGACGTAATGACGATGTAACGATGCACTCCCGCAGAGAATTCCATCCATTGTCACGGCATGATTTTGCAAATTTGACCCGCAAATCGATTTTCTGCCTCGTGCCAGTTTTACCGACTCGTTGGTGTCGTTTTGGTCATGCTACGCACAGCAGTCTCAGCGCGCGAAGAGCGCTGTACAAAATCATGTTGTGTTTTCCTAATGTTTGTCATTCCTTGTCTCCATTGTATATACTGGTTCGCTATCGCATCGTCATTGCAACATCAGCGTATCATTCGCATAAGTTGTATGTTACCGATCACTAGACGCGCAAATCATTGCGCGTGATCGATGATTCGGTGCGTCTCTGCGACTTGCCTAGTAGAGCAACGGCAGCCGCCGCATTCGATCCGCCGTGCGCTTTACCTGTGGGCGACGATGTCCGAATGTAATCCTCCTCCTCCCTGTGCCCCCTCCCTTCCCCCCCCCCCCTCCTTCCTCTTGCCCTGCAGCACCCCGGCAGCAGTGTCCCCCTCGGGGGCCCCTTCCCCGTGGTGAGCCTCCACCCGCCCCCCCCGCCCCCCGCGCACCCCGCGCACCCCAAGCCAGCCCCCCTGGTGGCTTACGACCACATCCCGTCTGTGACCAACCCTGAGAACTTGCCCTCCTTGCCACACATACCCCAGATACAGGTGGGTTCTCACCCCCAAGCCTGCGCAAGGCCGCTCTGACGTCGTTACTTTCACTGCCGTATAATTCTTACCCTGGGGTGAGTGCTTGCTCATTGCTTCAACCCTGGGGTAAATCTTCGATGACAGAACGACTCCCCATGCCCTCGTGGAAAAATTACTCCCATTTGGGGGTAAGAATACTATCCAGGGTTAGGGTATCTGGTCAAGGATTCTTGCAACCTTGTTCTAATTGCCTTATGTCTGTATCGGTGGTACCGGACTCGAGAAGAGTGATTCAATCTGGCTGTGGAGTTAAACTACCGCGGGGGGGGGGTGGAATTTTAATGATAAAGAGTATGGTGATCCGGCCCTCTAGATTATATGGGCTCTAAATACGATCTGGTGCCGGGCCTCCGTGTCTCCGTTTGACGAGGCCTCGTAGAGCCAGGCTGCTGCTGCGGCGGTGCCGCGCCAACCTCGCTCGCCTCAATGCAGGCACCCAGAGGAGGGGGAGGGGGTCGCGGGGTAAAGGAGGGAGTTGACTCTCCTCTGCCCTCACCTTCCCGACACGTGTTGATGGCCGTTGCATGTCACACAGCGATCTCTTAGTATCTTTCATGAACGTAAAATAAATTGTAAACAAATCGTAACCGACGTAATGCTTTGCCGCCTCCAAACATTATTGGTTTGAGGTGCTCCGTTTGTTTACTAAACAGGACTGCCCCGCTCGGCGGTGGCACCTGGCAGTCGCGTAAAAAACGCGCCCCCCACGCACCATTTGTCTTCACCCGCGGGTTCCTCATGCCGGCAGCTGGGGAGCAGCCGCGTGCGGATGTTAATCGGGCGAGCGGAGGAGACGCTAATCAGGGCCTCGTGCTGCCATGCCGCACGAGGCCCTGCTCGCGCGATCGACGGTGCGAGCCGACCGCTCCGCCACCGCCCGGGCCGCCGAGATCGATGCGTGCCGGCGGTGCTTCAGTTTCACCGCGGCAATCGGCTCGCGGTGCAGCGACGGGGCGCGCGTTGAATTGGTCGTCCGACGTGTTGCTGCGAAACAAAAAATATCGGTTTTTGCCTCCCGGGATTTCTGTTTCACAAAATTCATTTGGGTAACAGCATATACAAGCAGAACTCTGTTCTCTGCCTCCACGTGTACATAAATGGCACTGCTGATGAAACCCATGAAGTGGAAACCTGTGCAGAATTTTTGGTCTCCTTTTTAGTTTTAGCCAAACTTGTTCACCCACGAAATCCTCACTGCGCAGCCCTGGTGCCCAAACAGACGCTGCTGGACAGTGTTGATCTGGAATGCCCGTCGGCTGTTTGGCTTACTGACAGAGACACAAAAACGGAGTTCTTCTGCTATATATGCGAGGACCGGTGCAGCGCTGTGCTGCGTTATACCGCGGCATTATGAAGCTGTTGGAGCCCACACGTACAACAGCACCACCACCTGGTGTGGAAGAAAAGGACTGTTGAAGTGGCCTCACAGTGGGTTGTAAAACGTCAGCCTCCAGGGCCATTGGCTGGCAACGCGGTGGTCCACTGCTCGCTGCAAAGTTTTCCCGAATGGAAATTGATACCCACAGCTCGGTTATATTATAATTGACAAAACAAATCAAAGCAATTTTATAGGAATTATTTTTATCATTTCTGTACGACTGAGTATCACGTGCAGGGACAGCAGTCCGGTCGGGTGCGTTAGCGAGCGCGTGACGGCGGTGTGCGTGTGTGCTTGCGTGCATCTGTGTGTGCGTGTTTGTGCGCGCGCATGTGTTCGCGTGCCTGCGTGCATGCGTGCCGCTCCCGCGTCTCGTGCAGTTTGAGGACGTGTCATCAGTGCTGAAGCTGGCGGCGGTTCACGCCAACGGGGCCCTAGCGGACGGTGTGCCCAGCCCCGCGCCCCGCCTCACCTCCCCCACATTCTCCATCTCCCCGGGGTCTGCCATGCACTCGCCCGGTACGTGGCGTGCACCGCTGCAGCAGCAGCAACAACCACAGCAGCAGTAGCAGCAACAGCAACATCAACAGCCGCCACTCACTGCTAAATGGCGGGGTGACATAACAGCAGGACTTGTGCAAGGCTCAATGCATTTTGAGGCTGTCACGTGAAGTGCGGAAGGTCTCGCTGGCAGGATATCACGGGTACACACCCAGGTGTTATGGGTTAACTGGCTGAGATGATTAGCAGATGCACCGCCTGCGCTCCCCGCTGTGCCACCCACTGGCGTGAAGATGCACGCACGCAATATCGTGCACTTACAGGCGCACGCACAAACACATGTGCACGCGCACATACAAAAGACAAATAATACCCACATGGTTACCGTAGACTGTTGGGGCAAGTGTTATGAGAGAACATATGAAGGTCAGCGTGGTGCACAAGGAGGTAATGTGGCCAGCTCCATGCCCGGCCACCTTTGTTTCCCCAATGTTGATTTTTACATGCTGCAGCAGGCATTCATATAAGGCTGAGTCGACCTTGGCGAGGCCCAAGCACCGGTTCAAATAGCACTTGCCCACTGATGTTAGCTATGGGTGAGAATCGAACTCATCTCGCCGCGTTTGCAGCGCCGTACGCCAACCACTGTGTGCCCACTCGGTGAGCTGTGAATAAACGACTCGGTTCTCACGCGCACGACTTGACGTAACGCATCAAGCGGCGCACCTTCGCTTGCTTGTCCAGCACAAAGATCCCCCGTATAGCCTGAACAAACTGTTGGGGCAAGTGCTGTTAACGAGCACCTATAAAGGCTGGCACACGAGGGGTGGGTGGCCAGCACCACCCTCGTCACACGCATACACACACCCACCGTAACCACCACACCAGCGCATGTTGTATGCATGCATGTTGAAGTTCTTTCGCAACGAACGTAGCCAACCATGCTAGGCGACGGTGCGGGGGGAAGGACAGCAAACTAAACGCATAATGAGCCGCTGCAGGAATAACCCTTCTGCTGCCGTGTGCGTGTGCGTGTGTTCGCCCCCCCCCCCCCCCTCTACCGCCCTCCCAGTGACGGTGGCGAGCCAGACGCCCATCAGGCCTTCCAGTGCCTCCAGCACTGGCAGCCACGGCAGGTGACTGCCCCACGCTGCCCCCGCCCTGCTATCCCACGCCTGCCCCGCCCCCCCCCTCCATCCTCTTCTCCGAGAGTAATAAACGATCCGTCGAGATTTTGCGTCTGAGCGATTGCCTTCGCGTGCAATTGCTCAGGCTTGTCACCCACGAGTGATTCTTCAAGAGTGGAGCACCCCATTTTGCACCTTTACAGGTTCTGCAATACAATCAATGGGGATTTATAATGATAATAGGGATAATAATAATAATCACGTGGATCTGTTTGTCAATCTGCTGCTGGATTAAGGCCTCCCCGCGTCGTGTCTTGTCGGTGGGATTGTTTGACCATACTTCACGCCGGTCAGTGCGGGTTGGAGAAGCCCCAGGACTGATTAATGGCGTCACTCGTCACCAATATCAGCCGTGGCTGGGAGTCGAACTCGGTTAGCAAAGGGGCTGTGTGTGTGTGTATTGCCGATGAGAACCGTCTGCTGGGTGGTGGTGTAGAGAGTCTCCCACCCCCGCCGCAAACGGCACATGGGGTTCATCAATCAGTGGGGGGGCTCTTCCTCCCACCACCACCACCACCACGCTCGCCCAGGTCGGGGCCGGAGACGCTCATCCCTTTTCATTCGCCCCCGCGGTCGAGCGGCACCATTCATTTAAATTGGGGGGGGGGGGGGGGGGGCGGTGTTAGACTTGCTGTGACGGATGAGTTGATTTTAAATTGCGTTGTGTGTGCGGTGAAGTGGTGGCACGCGCTGGGTCGGCGCGCCGTGCTTCAAACCCGCCGGTGACCCGAGTTTGAACCCTGGCCGCGGCTAACGCCAGTGGCGGGCGAAATCTGAACCGGTTCGTGGGTACCCTTCACCCCTTCACCGACCCGCATGGATCAGCAGGGTGAAGTATGGTCAAAACAACCCCCATGGCCCACGTGGCGTGGAGAGACCTTTATCCATCAGTGGATTGATGTAGGGCTATAAATTATTAGTATTATTACATGCTAATGTAGCATTTTGGCTGAAGAAGATACTACTCTGAAATGGTGATGAAAAACCAAGTGTGGGTTGGTGAAGGGGTGGAGTTATCTGGGATCGGTTCAGATATTTTTCACCATTGATGTTAGCCATGGCCAGAAATCTGAGGTCACTTGGTTCACACCGTAGTGCACTGACCACTGCTTCACCACCTCTCTGATCCTTTAATTCGCATAAATCGTCAGTGCCTCTTGCATCGCAAGATCCTGATAGGGGTGGTAGCTTGGAGAGGCCTTCATCCAGCAGTGGATTGATCATGGCTGCTGTTGACGATTTTTACAAGCGCACGTACATGACAATTTATTTGAACTGACGTACGAACCGGTGCATCGTTGACGTCGCGGCCGTCCCGTGTGGGCATTGTGCGCGTGTGTGTGTGCGTGCATGTGTGTGTGCGTGCGCGTGTGTATGTGCGCGTGCCTGCACCCCACAGCTCCGCGTCCCCCAAAGTCCCATACGTGCGCCTCGAGCGAATCAAGCACGAGCCCGGCACGGCGCTCGCCGAGAGGGGCTCGGCGTGCGGGGGGCAGCAGCAGCAGCACCACCACCACCACCACCACCACGCGTTGGCATCGGCGACCCCCGCGACCGCTGCGCCCCCCGCGTCCGCCAACAGCGTGAGCGTGAAGCAGGAGGCGGCGCTCGGCGGGGGCGGCGCCGCCGGGAGCGCCTGTTGCGTGGTGAGAACGCGGATCGTGCGGAAACCGCGGCCGCCGGCGCCGACGACGAATGACGGGGAGCCCCCTCGGAGGCAGCGGTCTCGCTTGGCTCGCGGCTTCCGTCCCCCAGGATTTAAACGCTCGCTCGTGCACGCACGGGACTAACGGTTGTGGGGAGGGGGCGGTGTAAATAGAGGACGCCTTTGCACGGTCGTGGCCAACGGCACCGTTAATGAGGACAGGGGGCGGTGGGGGTGGTGCCACGCTGCCTCGTCCATGCCGGCGGTGCTCGCCGGGGAGAGTGGCGGCGGTGCGTACAGTGTGTGTGGCGAAGGCCGCCCAACACGTGCCGTCGATTTCCTCGCTTCCGTTCAAGTCCAGCCTCGAGCCCTACCGATTGCCTTGTTCTGCCTATAGTATAAGTGTGCACATGTGGTGGACATCTATGTATGTGTGTTGAACGTCTTTCGCACCGTACGTAGCCAACCATGATAACCGTGCTAATCGGACATGCCGTTCAAAGGCTAACTGCTGCGGTAAACTCCCTCATGCTTGCTGGGTGGACAGGCGGGCGGGGGGGGTGAATTGGGAATCAAGCTTTGGAGCATTTTTCCCAACGGCCGCTCCGGGAGATCGAATCGTGGCGGCGACCTCTGGGCTGAATGTCAAGTGGCGATCCACTATGCAGCTCCCTCTTTATGAATCCTCGTGTTGGATGAGGGTTCTTCATGCAATACATTTTGGATCAATGTGAATGGTGGATCTGTTACTCGTAAATATTAGTCTCTATTTAAGTCTTTGGATCTTGCATGTGATTGACGCTTTCAAATAAATATTCCCACTGTTTCTGTACAGTGCCTGGAGACTAGGTGGGGCTGTCCTGGGATAATTGGGCGACGTTACCCACATCTCAGAAACGTCGGTGCGATTTTCTGCTCAGAATGAGCATTGCGGTGTTGGTGCTCATTCCCTGTTTATAGCCCTGAGCCGCAAGTAGCGGAAATTCCACGCTACTATGAAGGGGGTGATTCTATCCTTAGGACAACTGCAGTTGACTTCCCCCACGAAGTGATAATCATTTTGTCGAACCCCAACCATGGGCCGAGACGACCCCCAGCCAGGATGTGACCTCGCAAGCCTGCGCTTGCGATCCGCTCGCTGTGCAGGTGGCTGTTGAGCGAATACGCGTGAACCCGGGGCAGTGTCAAGGGAAACGGTCGGCATGTCTCTCACTAGCACGGAGTCATCTCAGCTCCGTCCGGCTCGCTGACCTGGAAAGATATTTCGGGCACGTAGGTCGTGTGACAGGTCGCGTGACCACGACCTGCTCCAGTCGAGCAGCAACCCGGAAATTCGTACAGTGAGACGTTAAGCCCTGCTCATGAGGTGCTGCTGCTCAGGAATCTCTCAAAATACATTTTCCTTCCTTTTTTTTATTGGACCATTGTACGTCGTCTGGCGGTTATAAGAGAGAGGACATAAGTAAATATTGCTTTTATTGAAATAAAAACCTGTTTGGCTTATTTAAAATAGCTGCGCAGGTTGTATTTACGTACACATCTGAAATGCGTCCCCGTGCGCGCGGTGTGTGCGTGCACAGCTGAGCAGCCCCGACAGCATCCTCACCCCGCCGTTGTCCAACCCGAGCTGCGAGTCGCTGCCCATCCATGCCGTGCGCGTCAAGGAGGAGCGGCTCGACGGCGCCGACTACGCGGCGAGCTCCACGCCGCACTGCGGCGCTGGGCACGGCCACTCCCCTCGCCGACACAGCCAGCCCGACTCCACGACCGGCCTGCCCGGACACCGCGGCGCCGAGGGCACCGGCCGGGGTGCCAGCGGCGCGGACAGCAGTTCGGCGTTGCGGAGAGGAGACGAGGGTGCGGGGAGCGACGGCGCCGCCAGCGGCGGCGGCGGGGGGGACGATGCGGCGCAGGAGCCGGCGCCGGAGCAGATGGCCGAGGGTGCCGAGGGTGCCGAGGGCGCCGAGGGCGCCGAGGGCAACTGCGCCGTGTGCGGTGCGGACGCCCCCGTACTGGCCTGCGCGGAGTGCGGGGGGCGGTATCACCTGACCTGTCACGTGCCCGTCCTCTCCGAGCATCCTGGGTACGGCATGGAAGTGGCAGGCACAGTCGCACGCTCACATGTAGCCAAACGTGCTAATCGGTGGTACGGGGGAAGGCAAAAAACTAAACACAAGAAGCAGTTCTGAAGAAATTAGTTTTCAACATGCACGTAATCTCACACCGACACCCGCACACACGCTTGGACACAATGTGCAGACATCTGCTGTTGAAATATGCGTGATATTTTTTCGTGTCGGCAGCCCGCTGCAGCCCGTGAGTGTGGTTAGTAAGTGTTTCTGTCCGTTGGCACTCTGCAGCCCAGATGTGTTTGTGCATTTCAGCTGTTTTTCTGCTAAATCAACAAACACTGTTCCCAGCTGAAGCAGCATTGTGAGGGTAACAAAAAAAATACACACGGCCGGAAGCGGAGGATCGTTGGCGATTCGCGCACCATGACGTCCGATGTTGTCCCCGTGTCCAGCGGGGACTGGCGCTGTGGCCTGTGCCGCGGCCCGGACTGCGAGGAAGATGCGGCGGAGACGGCGCGGGATGGTGTGACAGCCGGCGAGCGGAGGGTGAGTGGCCGAGCCGCCCTCTAACTTCCTCACCTTCTCAAACGAGCCCCACAACTATTTTTTTAACTATTGTTCAACTTTTTTTACTTTACCAGGTAGCTCTTTTTCAGAAGCGATCTGGCCACAAATGGTAGCTTAATAAAGTGGCGTACTGTGTGTAAATTTATAGCAGCCAAATACACACGTTAATTCTAAATGTGGGGGGAAAAACCGGAGGAGCCGGACATAAATCCACGTGACCACGGGGAGAACATGCAAACTTCAAATATACAGGAATCCGGGTCAGGGTCAAACCCATGAACCCATGACCTCCTGTCTACCAGGCGAGGTAGTTAACATCTCGCCACAGCGGTACCCCAACTAGCGGCGACTCTCGCGCCTCAGCAAGAAGGGGCCTGGGTTTGATTCCCGACTCGGGTGCCTCTCTGTGCGTGGAGTCTTAAATGTTCTCTCTCCCCCTGTTTTGCATGGGTTTGCTCCGGGTTCTCCACTCTACTCCCATCGCTAAAAACAACAACACTGTGCGACTGGTATCGGAGAAAACATCGCAACGCTGAGAGATTAATCTAGATGTGAAGTTTTCGTGACTGCAGGGATCCATACTCTTTGGTTCTTTCGGTAAAGTGATGTAGGTATAAAATAAATTAAATCACGACGTTTCGATTGCAACACAAGCAATCATCACCTGATGATGATGATACGTGACTTTACCAAAAGAACCAAAGAGTATGCTGAGAGATTACTCTGCAAATTACTCAATCACACACAGCAGCAACATCGCCCCCCCTACTGCGAAAACGTGGCAGGACTCACCTGAAAATAGCCTTGAGAGTCGGTGAGGCTTTCCTGGATAAACAAGCAGAGTAATAATATAACAATAGTGGAGTGAAATGTCGCTGCACTAGGGAAATAAAGGTGGTCGAGCGTGGTGCTGGCCACCCACCATCTCATGTGCCGTTCTGGCCTTCATAGGTGCTCGCTGACAGCACTTGCCCCAACAGTCTGTTAAGGCTGTACGGGGGATCTTTGTCTGTGCGCAGTGTGTGTGTCTGTGCGTGTGTGAGGTGCTAATCACCCCTCCGCGTGGTGCGTAGCGCTGCGAGGTGCTGCTGCTGTCAGTGCTGTGCCGCATCACCAGCGAGCCCAGCGCTCCGCGCACCGGCGTCTCGGTGAGTTCACCCGCGGAGACCGATTGCTAACGACCCTCACCAGGCAACCCGGCCGGCTCGCCAGCGTCGCCCACCACAGGGCCCACGCCAGCGTCACAGCTGTTCAGTCCACCGATGTAGCCACCAGAAAGAGTCACGTAAACCACTGGGTGCTTCTAGATAGACAACACAACTGCTGCAGCGTGGGCTGGAGCAGTGGTACATAGGTTCGCGGCACTCCCCTTTGAAATTAGTGACCCGAGTTCGATTCCTGGCCACGGCTAACTAACATCAGTGAACTGGTCCTGCGCTCGCTTTCACCAACCCGTGGTCACTTAGTCTGCGAGTCTCCTTTATTTGACCAGGAGATTAAATAAGCCCTTTCAGACACGACGTGAGAGCGACCCATGGTCGTGACGTATGGTCAAACCAGCCCCAGGACTGACAGGGCAGCCTTCTCCCAGCAGTAGACGGACAGGGGGTGGTACATTTTAAACAGGAAGAAAATCCAGCGTGAGGAACCCATACCGGGAGGTGCTCCTGTCGCTGTGAATTGCCACAATCGGGCCGCTTTGATCATTTATCCATCTTTCCCAGCAGCTCCCCTCCCCCTTCCCCGCAATCTGCACCGCGCAGCTTGGTTAAGTATGGGTTAAACAACCCTCGTCACCTTCATCCAGCAGTACATCATTTCGTACATTCTCCAAAGCATGTTAATGAATGAATAATATGTTTTCAAATTAAGAAAATACCACGATAACACACTGATAATGCCCCCCCCCCCCGCAGGAAGCTGAAAAGCAAATGAATGGCACAGAAGCTGATAGCGACGGAGGCGGCGGTGGCGACGGTGGCGACGCTCCGTTGCCGGGCTGGCTGGACGCGGTGAGGCTGCGACTCCAGCCCGACTCCGCGGAGCCGTACGGCAGCCCCGAGGAGTTTGTGTCGGCGCTGCGCTCGGGCCTGCGCTCACACCGGGACGTGAGTGTTCGCCTCGCTCGCGCCGCCTCGCGAGCCTCACGTGCGCCCGGCCCCCTCCTGCTCCGCGGCGCCTCACGGCCACGCTGGCGCGCTGCGCTCGTTGACTCGCGCGTAGACCGTACCGCTCGTTAACCGAGGGATACCCTGATCTCAGCCACCATCGCTCGGTAACCAGTGCCGTTGGGTAACCGGTGCCGCTGGTTAACCGGTGCCGCTGGGTAACCGGTGCCGCTGGGTAACGAGTGCCACTAGTTAACCAGTGCCGCTGGGTAACCAATGCCGCTGGGTAACCGGTGCCGCTGGGTAACCGGTGCCGCTGGGTAACCGGTGCCGCTGGTTAACCGGTGCCGCTGGGTAACCGGTGCCGCTGGGTAACGAGTGCCGCTAGTTAACCAGTGCCGCTGGGTAACCAGTGCCGCTGGGTAACGAGTGCCGCTAGTTAACCAGTGCCGCTGGGTAACCAGTGCCGTGCACATCCAGGCCAACGTAGCTCGTTTACTCACGATGTCCCCAACCCAGCCTCTCAACATCTGCCGGTGCTGGTGTTTGCTGGTGCTCACAATACAATGCAATGCTCATTTTAATAGTGCCTGAATGTGAGCGCAACTCAAAATGCTGGAGAGACACATTTATTTTACAGAGAAAGACAGGCAGTGAGTCATCATAGGCAGAGAGAAAAAGGAAGGTCCCTTGATCCTTTGGCAGGGAGACGACAGCATGGACTGCTGGAGGGAGATTTCTGCGGGGTTATGTGGAGAGCGTCTCGGTCCTAGGAAACGCGCCATCGACTCCACGTCGTTGCCTTCGCCATACAAAGAGCGCCGAGCCCCTGATAGTTTCCGCTGACACGGCAGACGCGTCGGCGAGACCGCGTCTCTGAAGAGCAGCGGCTCATTCACCCAGGGGGTGGCGCCTCTGCTTTTGTGTTCTCTCAGCGTCAGTCTCTTTTATGCCAGCGAGTGAGCTCCACTGTCAAAGGGGGGGGGGGGCGGGTAGTGATTTGAGGCCACGGGTCACAGGCCGTGACACAGCAGCTAATCTGGCTTTGAGAGTCGTGGGATCGTTGCCTTGGCACCAAAACGTTCGCCGGTGGGAGGTGGCCGGGAGGCTCAAGAGGTCGTGACCGGTCCTGGGCCTCCCCGAGGTAGACCCAGCCTCAAGCGAGTACCTGGTGCAGTGTATAAACATCGCCACTCGGGAGACAAAGGTGGTCGGGTGTGTCGTGCCTGCCTTTGTAGGTGCTTGCTAACAGCACTTGGCCCAACTGTCTGTCGCGTCCACAGGGAACAGCGCCCAATGGCGTCGGTCTCCCCGTGCGACTGCCGCTGCTTTAAATCGTGGTCGTTAACTTAAGACTGTGTAACGGACACGTTCAGAAACAGAAAGAGGAACACGTGCATTTGAAAACATTTATAGGTTAAAGACTTTGGGAAACGTAAAAGTGCGCATAGGCGCATGGAGACGCGCTTGCATGGGATTGCACAGACAGAAAGAAATGGAACACGTGGATTAGAGAACCTACGCAGGTTGTCAAGAAAAGTTAATGGGCTTGCGGAGGTTACATGATGGCGGGAGGATGAAACTCGCCCCAGATGACGACCACCGCGAAGAGATGGAGCGATGAAATTAACTTCTGACCGCGCGAGATGGTCACAGCTTGGAGACGGGCCTTCATCCGGCAGTGGATTGCTCGTGGCTAATAACGATGTCCTCGCTTACCCACAGCACCGCGCGCTGGAGGCTCACGTCACGGACCGGCTTGGGGAGCTGTTCCCAGGGCCGAGCGAGACGCACGGCACGTGCGGCGCAGACTTGGCCGAGGACGCCGGCGTGGACGCCGCAGCAGCGGAGGTGGCGGACGCTGCCGGCGTGTGCCCGGACGGGCTCGCGACCGTGGACACGGCAGAGGCGTGCGGGGACCCGAGCGCCGGGACGAGCGAAGACGCCGGGACGAGCGGCACGGCGGACGCGTGCGCCGACGTGGGCGCCGGCAGCGCGGACGTGGGCGGCGCGCTGGATGCGGACGCCGGCGCCGGAGCCGACGTGGTTGAGGACGCCGAAGTGGAGGTGGAGACGGCGGAGGCCGCCGAGGACGTCTCGACGTCCGCGGGCGGCGACGGGGGCGGGGACAGCGACGCCGAATGCGGCGAACCGAAATCCAAGCGCGCCAGGCTGGATCCTGCCGAACCGGGCCCCTAGCGGCTGTCAGCCGCCGAGCGACATGACCCAACGAACCCCGGCGGGAAACCATCTCGCGGCCGCAGTTGACGATCGTCTCGAGAAGTGCGAGTGGCCGTGCACGTCGCCAAACCCTGCGCTCGTCCCGTCGAGACCCAGTTTTTGGACGTGCGACTATTTTGGGAAAAACCAAGTGCCAAAGCGAGTGCTGCCGAGCGTTGCGGGAGCTGCACGGCGTGAATGTAGGGGGGGGGGGGCTTCCCCGCGGAGTGGGGTGGGGGGGCTGCGGGACGCGGCAGCGGCGACGGCGGGGACCGCCACAGGAAGCATCCGCCGCGGCCTCCTGCCCACCCCGATCAAAGCGTACGAGCAGCGTGGAGGTTTGGTGAAGAGCGGCACCGTTCGTCACATTTAGCGCCCAACGCATGACCAAGTGTGTGTTTAGCCGTGCGATTGTTACAAGGTTTTTTGTAGTTGTATTCTTAATATTATTATCATCATTGTATTTATTTTATCACCATCTTGCTGCAGGACTGGGTGGGAGTGTATTTATCTTGCCGTGCAGCTGGGGTAAGCGCGCCCACCGGCACGTCCTTGTTCCAAGAGGAGAGCGGCCGTGTCCCCCGACCAAGACGGGTTGTAACTTTTTTTATTTTTTCAGGGTTTTACCTGAAGTTCGCGACGTGAGCCAAGCGGGGGGCGGGGGGGGCCGGGGGCCTCGTGGCCTCGTCTTCCCATGTACAGACTCGGACTCGATTCGGTCAAGCTTGCGGCTACTACACATGCGCACGTGCCGGCCGTCCTCCGGTACGGCACCCCGCCATCACGACGTTCGGCGGAGAAATCACTTGGCTTCTCTTCGAATCACCTCGTCGCGCGTTCCCAACGGACCTGGAACTAATGAATCCCAACGAGAGCCAGCGCCCTGCTCGCCCACCCACTCGCTTGCACGGCCGCCCACACACTCGCCCACCCCCGTACCTCCACCGCGGGGCTGCAGGTGAGAGAGACTTCTCTGAATGACGAAAGGATCCTTCATCTCCCGTGGCTCATCCTTCATCGACCGTTGTTCCCCCGCCCCCCCCTGGCCTCGTCTTCATGCCCACGCACAAGCCCACGCACACACGGACTGGCGCGCGCAGGCGCAGGCTAGTTAAGCGTCCTCACGGCGCGCTCTCTGCGGCATCGTTGGCGACTCGAGGTGTGACGCTGGCAGAGCGCGACGCGGAACGGTTCTACCGTAGTCGGTGGCTGCAGCAGGAGCTTGTTTCTGGTTTAAGCGATGTTTTTAGTTGGGGGGGGGGGGGTAATTGAATTGCAAGACTGTGTTTGTGTCGATAACAAGAACCAAAACAAGGCTCGCCCAGTGACGTCCGTGTGTTTTTCCTGATAATAGAGTTTTCCCATTTTTTCTGGCAACAAAACAGGTGTTAAGATGTTAAAACACCAAACTGAAACTTTTTACAAGGAATCGTGTCTGCACAATGCTTGTTGTCAGAATGCAAACAAATAACACTCTGATAATATATGGATTGTCCTTGAAACTGATTGGTCCACACCAGAGGCAGCTTTCTTTTTAGCCTCATCTCAAACGGTGTTAGACCAGAGGACGCCAAAGGGCGTGTAACGCCTTTTGGCGTCAGGTTTCAGTTTGGTGTTTTAACATCTTAACACCTGTTTTGTTTGCCAGAAAAAGGGGAAAAACCTATTATCATATTTTGTTACTGGCAAAGGAGGTCCCATGATGTTTTTCCTGTCAGAGATGGACCCCGGTGGTCATCGGCGATGGATCTGCTCTCAAATAACTTTTTCCACCGGTACAGCCGCGCCGTGCCGAGCCGGCCCAGCGCAGGAGGTGCCGGCCGGGTTCTTTCTCTCCGGCAGAACCCGAGGCGTGGACGCGGTCATTGTCCCCTCCCGGCCCCGAGAGAGAGAGAGATTGAAATGTCTGCCGAGGCCGAGCGTATCGCTTTGGTTCTGGCTCGGCGTGGCAGACTGCGAGTGGGAAACCAAGCGTAGCGCGAGAGCCCGGCGTCCAACAGGGTAACGATAGCGGCAGCCCCCTCGGCCGGGGCTCCCGGCGCACCCCCAGGGTCTGCTGCGGTGGTCGTAAACGCTCACCGCGTCGTCATCGGCCGTGATCGATCCACTGATGGATGAATGCCCCCCCCCCCCCCACAGGCTGTCACCATCTCTCACAATCATGCATCTAATAATCCACCCACGCACGAGCCGATTGCATCGCTCCATCTCCTCGATGGACGTTTCTCGGACTTGTGGCATTAAATTTGAACGAACCGTGACGTGCGTGGAAAATAATAATTCACTTCATCGCAAACGTCACGATAAACATTGTTGATTTTAATTCACAAGAGAGAATGTGCACTTTTGTGTTTGTCAACATTAAAAATGAACGTATTGCTATTAACATGCCAGACCTTGCTATTAATGTACATCATCCTTCACGCGACATATTTTTCCGTTAAAACAAAAGTCGATTCCCACATTTACATCAAGGTATTGGGAGCACCGGGCCCCGTCCGGTGAGGCCGGCCACCAGCCGCCCGCGTCACTGTGACTCGACGCAGTCCGACCGGCGGAGCTGCCGCATCATGGAGAGGAAGTTGTCGGCGGAGTTGGGGACCGAGAGCTCCGGGTCTTCCCTGCCAGTTGCAGTCGCCAGAAGCATCTCGGAGTGGACGTGCGTCACCTGCACGCGGCGCGAGAGGGGTCGGGGTGCACGCGTCGAGTTTGCGCATCGCGCGTGCCACCGTCTAACCCGTGCTGGTTTGAGAACGCCGCGTGCTGGTTTGAGAACGCGTGCAGGTGAGAGATAGGGAGGAACACGTCGTTGCTGGACGGGACGATGGCCGGCGGTCGAGACTAACGACGGGAGTGGCAACCGGAGGATGGCGCGAGGAACGGGCCGTGGCATCGCGAGCTCGCGGGGAACAAGGGCCCTGCTTGGGGACATGGATAGATCAGGGCATGCTAGGGAGCGCTCACCTGCACGGTGATGGCCTTGTTGTGCGCGGCCTTCCCGTTGGGCCACTTGCTGCCGAGGCACAGCACGACGTCGCAGTCGGGGGGCGGCTGCCGCCGCGCGTCGGCGCCACCGTCATACCAGGCGCTCATCTCTGTGATGCACGCGGCACAGAACATCGGTCAATCGACGGTCGCCAGCGCGGCCATTAACACACAAACCTCATTCGTCAATAATATCGTTGCCAAAGTGAAAAAATATATAAAATTGCTTGTAGGTGGCATTTCGGGCAATAACTCTTATTCATAGCTTTCCTTCCAAAGGCCACCGCGTTGACGATTGTGCTGGGGTCCTGTTGTGTGCGCTTGTGCACCATTGCCTAGGCAGCTTCGCGACGACGACGCCATCACAACGTGTTTGATGGTGACCCGGGCACTCGCTGCATAGTCCCCCGCGTGATCATTATTTCTGCTTCTCACGGCGTACATTTGCAGTCCAACTCCAAATTCCACAGCAGCCCCATACCGACCAGCGCATAGCGGTCGCCCCTCCGAGCACCGTCCACTCTCGTGATGAGATTCGGCGCGTACCTGGTGATGGGTCGCAGGTAATTCTTACGAAGGCGGCGGTGGTGTTAAATTTCTAATGACCTGCGAGACGGATTCCTGCCACAAAAATTAGCAATTGCCACCAACGGCTCGGAGCCTCCCAATTGGATCCGAGCGCTGTCCAACATTCGTTTAGAGTAGAAAGACACTGAAGATGTAAATTGTGTCACCAGCTGGGAACGCGAGACACCAGGGGGCATCAGTGCCAGTGGGAGACGACGATTGCTGTCTGATCCCAATCAAGTAGCTTGCGGTGTCATTTTCGAAGTTTTGCAAATGTAGATCCTGATGTCCGGCACACAATGGCCTACTCTTGCAAATGACGTCCTGGGAACTTTGACGGCCACCGTGAAGCAGACGGCTTGCATGGTATTACTTCGGTTATCGACCCCGCAGTTAGAACTAGTGCGGCCACTGCATTTGAACCGTGAACCGCTGCAACAAGCGGCAAATGCTCCTTGCAGCGTTAATCCGTCACGTTCTGAAGAATTGTTTACAGGTGGAGTTCAGGCAGAACCGGTCAAATAGTGGTCGCGTCCGTCAGAATCCATTAAGAATTAATAAAACTGCGCGCTCCTTTGAGGCCCCCCCGAGGCAAACTGCTCCCCACCTGCGGTTCAACTCTCCTGCATCTCCGCCACCACCCCCGCCCCAACCCCCCCTGATGGAGCCTCCTCCTCCACCCGATGGGCGTCCCGAGCGGGGAGAGCTCGGCGGACAGGGACATCCAAAGGGACGACCGTAGAACGACAAAGCTCCATTGATGGCGAGCGCGTCGTGGCGGCCGCGGCGCTCACGTACTCTGCAGGAAGTCCGCAAAGTCGTAGAGCAGCGTGCGAGCGCGCGTCCTCTTGTCGGCGCGCGTCAGGGCGTTGGCCCTCTCGCTCGCGTGCTGCCCGGGCCCCGAGTAGAAGACGCGGCAGCGGCAGAGGCGCGTGGCCTCCACCCCCTTCGGCGTGGCCTGCGGCGGGCAGAACGCACGGTCACGAGGGTCGGAGGGCAGGTTCCTGCGCTCCCTCCCGTTAGCCCCAGGGTGACGGCGGTCGACAATTAGCGTTAACCATCACGTGCCCAGTCGGCACGAAAAGTGTAAAGCAAATGAAAATTGAAATGGAGGCTGCGCAAACCAACACAGCTGGGGGTGTGTGTCAGGTATGGCTTGTGCTCGGGGCTGGTTGGCGAGTTATTATGTTGAAGGGATTGTGATAGTGTTTAGTTAGTGTAAGTGTATGGCTGGCTAAATTATGGGCAGGTATAGTGTGGTTAGTGTGACTGGCTGAGTCGTGGGGCCCGTGCAATTGGCTGGTATTGTCAGGCCCAGTGCGGCGAGGCTTTGGGGTTGGGCTCGTGGCCGACATCCCACTTGCCCAAGCACTCACCTCCAGCAGCAGCCCGTTGCCCATGATGGAGATTCTCTCCGCAACCTCCTGCCTTTTGATCTCCTCCAGCTGCGGGGGTGGCGCGGGCAGGCGCAGGACGCGAGGCTCCGGCATGCCGGGCAGGCTGTACCTGGCCACCTCACTGGGCTCCCACTCCTCGTTGCAGACGAGGCAGCCCACCGGCACCCCGGCGGCGGCGGCCACCTCCGTCATCAGCACGACGTGGCCGAAGTAGCTGATGCTCACCTTGAGCTGGTGCACTGGCGGGCAAAATGGAACCCCCACCCCGTGGGAGAAACGCAGATTTACAACCGGGCGCGGCGGTGGAAATGATTTACATGGACTGCTGCAGTAGTGTTCACCAGGCATATGCGGACCGCCGATTTGCAATATTTGAATCATCTCCCTCGTAACGCGCGGATTTGTGTTTGAGTCCGAGCATGCGCAGTCGTGAGGCCAGGTACGAGCAGACGCATGCACAGAGGCGCGTCTGCGTGTGCGCACCTGTGCGCATCCCGTGCTCGCGTACACTTCACACGGTACACCTCGTGCGCGTACACGGTGTGCCTCGTACTATGCACGCGTACACCTCGCACGGTACGTGCGTCTGCATCTATGTGCGGGCAGAGGCATGCGCACATGGCACGCGCACATGGCACGCGCAGATGTGCACGCAGCTACTTACCCAACTCCTCCATCACCGCTGGTGCCACTGCCGCCCCCTGGAAGGATCCCACGCTCTCCATGGACACGTTGGAGTCGTGCATGCAGGGCTGGACGGCCCCGCCTTGGTAGAACTCGCCCGGCGCCGGGTGGTGGTGGTGTTGGTGAGGAAGGGCGATGCGTAGGTCCAGATGATAGGCCACCTCTTCCTGGGTACCCGTCGTCTCCAGGGGCGGGCACAGCACGGGGTCTTCTCCCACGCCGCGCGCCAGCAGAGTGGCACCGTGAGGCTCAATATTCATCTCGCCAAACGAGTTTTGGAGATGTGACTGTGGGAGGAGAACAGGTTAGGCTCCACGAGCCCTTTTGCGTATCAACCACGCTTCACCAGGGACTACAATATCCACGCGTCCTCATTTACTTATTAACCACTCCTCACTCGTCGAGGGTCAGCAAGTCACATGACCGCAAACACATTGACAATTAAAGCGATTACTTTCAAACATTGTCGTAGGCCCCCATCATGAGGAAGTGTTGCATTGTCAACTGCACCTCTTACCAAGAATCCCACCGATAAACGCGTACGAACACTAATTATTTGGCTCAATACATCTTAGTATATAGAGGACTGCAGAGCTCATGAAACAAAACCGCGTTATGAATACTGTGTTGGCATTTTGGAGCAATGCACGAAGGAAAAAAAAACTGAATTTTTTTTCCTTTGGTGAAAACAAATAAACAATTGCTGCAACTCCCAAACCTTGTTCGGTAGCTTTCTGCAGCTGCTGCCGCCTCTAGAACGAGGTGGTAACGAGGTTGTTAACGACCACTGGGCAAGAGGACCAATCATTTACATTCACGCTACCCTGCCCACCACCACTCTCCCTGGCCATCTCACCATCATCTCACTCACCATCTCACCATCTCGCGCACCATCTCACCATCATCTCACTCACCATCATCTCACTCACCACCATCTCACTCGCCATCTCACCATCATCTCACTCACCATCATCTCACTCACCATCATCTCACTCACCATCTCACCATCTCGCGCACCATCTCACGCACCATCATCTCACTCACCATCTCACCATCTCACTCACCATCTCACCATCTCACTCACCATCTCACCATCTCACCATCTCGCGCACCATCTCACGCACCATCATCTCACTCACCATCTCACCATCTCACCATCTCACCATCTCACTCACCATCTCACCATCTCACTCACCATCTCGCGCACCATCTCACGCACCATCATCTCACCATCTCACTCAACATTCTTACTCACCATCTCACTTGCCCGGAACTCCGGCACTTGAGAGACCTCTGCTGTTCTCTCTGCAACAGCGAGACAAAAAGCGGAGGAAGCGTTAAAGAGAGGTGGTGGCAATTCCATCCGTGTTCTCAGTGACCAGGAAGAGGGCCTGTCCAGACGAAGCCCCCCCTAGGCATAAGGCAATGATGGCTAAACTACCCCCAAGATCCCGAACAAAGACGAAACTGATATACAGTTGTCTCTTTTGTGCTGCCGCTGTCTAAAATAAGATTGCCACAAGTAAACTCTTGCCAGTCGACTCCAGCAGCCTGCTGTCTGCGTTATACAGGCAGCATGCAAGGCATGATGGAAGGGCACATCTATCAGTCGCAACTATGCGTTCCGCAGTCCAGGATGACGTGCGTGTGTGCAACGACTGATGAGCTTGACCTGTAGGCCGTGAGAATTGTTTTTCAACTTGCTGGCGAGTCGGAGAGACATTGTGGCCTTTAGACCCTTCAGCACAAGGTGCTGGAGGGCAACAACAAAATCTGTCCAGACCATTTGGTGGCCAAACCCAATTTTTTTTTAATCTTCGACGACATAGGGGAGAGTGGGAGAGGTCAGGGGTGGTGGTGGGTGGTGGGGTTGGGGGGGGTCAGTAGCGTATTCAGCGCCGGTTAACGAGAGGCCAGCACCGACTCACGGTTGTGCGAGCAGCCCGTCGTGCGGGGAAACAGGCGGTAGACGCGGAACAGCTCGGGCGGGCTGAGCTTGGCACCGTCCGTCTCGCACTCCAGCATCTTCTCGAGCGCGCAGCGCAGCGACTGGCGCCAGTCGGACGGCTTCGACGAGTCCACGCGGCCCTTCATGGTCGCGTAGGCCTGCGCCCAGCGGAAGGAGCGCGAGCACCACGTCAGCGCCTCGCTCGCCCGCACGCTCACCAACACCGCACGGCTCACCAACACCGCACGGCTCACCAACACCGCACGGCTCACCAACACCGCACGGCTCACCAATACCGCACGCTCACCAACACCGCATGGCTCACCAATACCGCACGCTCACCAACACCACTCACCAACAGCACGGCTCACCAACACCGCACGCTCACCAACACCGCACGCTCACCAACACCGCATGGCTCACCAATACCGCACGCTCACCAACACCGCACGCTCACCAACACCGCATGGCTCACCAATACCGCACGCTCATCAACACCGCACGGCTCACCAACACCGCACGCTCCGCCAACACCGCACGCTTCGCCAACACCGCACGCTTCGCCAACACCGCACGCTCCGCCAACACCGCACGCTCACCAACACCGCACGCTCACCAACACCGCACGCTCACCAACACCGCACGCTCACCAACACCGCACGCTCACCAACACCGCACGCTCACCAACACCGCTCACCAATACTGCACGCTCACCAACACCGCACGCTCACCAACACCGCACGCTCACCAACACCGCACGGCTCACCAACACCGCTCACCAACACCACTCACCAACACAGCACGCTCACCAACACTGCATGGCTCGCTCGCACTCCGCGGCTCACTGGCACAAATAGATCTCAGTGCCACACAGCACGCACTCTCATGTTCTTACACGCCGTCACTCGCACACACCACCTCCCAACAGGTCGCTATGCCGCAGTCATTGTCAGCAGAGGGCAGTGTAGAAAAGCCCATTGTTCTATCAACCAGCACTAACCAATGTGAAATCTGGTCAAACGCCACGTGTGGGACTCACTGGCAAATCACCCGGAATGTGGCCGTTGGTGAGATGTCGATCCCTACTCTTAGGTTTTTTCGGTAAAGTCACTGTAGGTAAAAAATAAAAGTAAATAATTAAATAATAGAGCTAATTATTAAAATAAAATTATAAATCACGACGTTTTGAAGGCAACACACGTCTCCGTCATCAGGTGGGACCGTCACAGCTAAATTTACTGTATTTACCTACGTGACTTTACCGAAAAAACCTAAGAGTATGAATCCTTGCAGTCACGAAAACTTCAAATCTAGAATGTCGATCCCTGCCCCGCTCCCAGGCCGGGCGCCCACGTCCCCGTGGCGCCTGGTGCCCACTCCCGAGTGGGGGGCTCGGCGTGGGCAGCAGCAGCAGCCGGGGGGTGGACGGGGTGGGAGTGGGGGCAGCTCACCCGGAAGATGGAGTCGGTGTCCCGAGAGAGACGCTTCTTGGCGCTGTCCCAGGGGATGCGCACGGCGGAGCGGGAGTCGTCCTCCCACGCGACGCCGTAGAGCCCCGCGTCGGCCAGGTTGCCCAGCCAGTCCCGCAGGAGCGTGTGGCACTTGCCGGGCATGGCCTAGGGTGCGGGGGTGCGGGACACGGACAATTACCGAGGGCGGTGACCGTGCACGGACGAGGAGGTGGACCGGCGCCACGGGATGTCGCGCGCGATGGTCGGCCGTCACCCAGGAGATGATCACGGACGATGTCAACCATCACCCAGACGATGTCAACCATCACCCAGACGATGTCAACCATCACACAGACGATGTCAACCATCACACAGGAGATGTCAACCATCACCCAGACGATGTCAACCATCACCCAGACGATGTCAACCATCACCCAGACGATGTCAACCATCACCCAAACGATGGCAACCATCACCCAGACGATGTCAACCATCACCCAGGAGATGTCAACCATCACCCAGACGATGTCAACCATCACCCAGACGATGTCAACCATCACCCAGGAGATGCAACCTCACCCAGAATATCACGCGTGGTGTTGCACATCGCACAGGACATGAACCGTGACCCCCAGATATCAAGTGTGATGTTGACAATCGCGCAGGAGATCAGCCGTCCCAGGTATCACCAAACACCCAGGAGGCCGGTGGCTGCCCGCATTGCTTGAGACACCAACCACCAACCCAGGGCATTAAACATCACCTGTGACGTCGCCTTCTTCAGCCGCCACGTCACTCATCACGTCGCCTCTGACATCACAGGCATGGCCCACGATATCGATCATCACGAGCCATGATCAGTCCACTGTTGGATGAGGGCCTCCCCAAGTCGCCGCTGCCATCACATCTCACGGTCCTTGGCGTGGACCCTGCGGCCACGGAGCCGTTGCAGGCCACGGCTGCCATCAGTGGCGATGTCCAACACGGCCCTGAGTACCGTGCCAGATTCGGTGTGCGAGTTTGTATCCATCAACACTGGGGAGACAAAGCCGCTCCAGCCTTAATAGGCGCTCGCTAACAGCAGTCCGTGCGCGTCCCGTGTCTCTGACGCTGTCCGATGTGAAGTCGCCCAGGTCTCGAGTCGAGCCTGGCGCCCACAGCTCCAACTCGACCGCCACAGCCCCCCAAACTGCAGATACGACGATGTCACAAGCCACGGGGTGGATCACGTGGGGTGGATCAGCTGGTCCACGTGGGTGGATCATCTGGTACTCAAGGGGTCGATCAGCTGATACGGGGTTAAACACGCGGGGTGGATCAGTTGGCACTCACGGGGTGGATCACACGCGAGATGCTGGATCACGGGCGAGGTGGTGGATCACACCGGGTGGATCACGCGAGGTGGTGGATCACACGAGATGGATCACGCGGGGTGGATCACGCGGGGTGGATCACGCGCGAGGTGGATCACTCTCCACGCCTGAGCAGAAACCTCCACCCGGAAACGCGGACGTAGCGAGAAATGACGTCACCGCCCACGCAGCTTCTCATTCGTCAACGCGACACGTGGGCGGCTCCGCGCACATCGCAGGCGCGTGCACTGTCACGTGACACGCGTGTCGTCACGTGCGAGAGATGAATATCGGGTATGCTCTTGATGGAAGCGATCAGTTTGCTCGCTACATTAAAGATGTCGGTGAATCACGAGAGCGCGCATCATCTCCTCTCTCACGCCACCCGGCCGACTCCGTGCTCCCCCCCGCCACACTCCTCAAGCCCCCCGCCACACGCCTCGACCCCCCCGCGCCGTTCGCCACGGGGAATTTCCGCCCAGAGGCACGGCGCCGCGGTGGCTATGCGATGTTGACTACCTCGCAGGGCATGCAGGAGCCCGTGGGTTCGATCCCGACCCTGACGATGCCTGCTGCTGCTGCTGTATATTTGGAGTTTGCGTCTCTCTCTCTCTCTCCCCGTGGTCGCGTGAATTCCTCTCCGGCTTTCCCCCCCGTCACAATAAAAATCAATCGCAGGAAGAGACATCGAATTTGGTCATTTTAAAGAAACCTCAACATTCCAAGAGCGGCCAAAGCAGTCGCGTAAAGAGCCGCACGCGACTCCCTCGGCTGCGCTGAGCCCCGGGTTTGGAGCAGCTGCAGATTATTTGGCTGCTCAAACCGTCCGCGTGATGACGATGATGATGAGCCAGTTCGTTGAGCTATCATTTGTGGCCAGGTCGCTTCTGAAAAAGAGCTACACAGCTCAGTGAGGCCTTACCTGGTCTGATAAAAAAAAAAACTATAGGATAGTGGAGTTGTTTTGAGCATGGCGAATGTGTTATCTATGAACGTCGCTCACCTGTCGTTCTTGGAGGATCTGTGGCGAGCCGAGACGTTCAGTGAGGAATTGCGACCAGTTACAACGAGCCGAGCTCGTGGTGGTGGTGATGATGGTAGTGGTGGTGATGATGGTGGTGGTGATGGTAGTGGTGGTGATGGTGGTGGTGATGGTGGTGGTGGTGACTCTCACACGCGTGCCGGGAAGCTTTTAAGCTGTCTTCGAAAGATCCTCCTCCTCCTTCACGGCCAATCCCGCGAGGCCAGCGAACACCTGCAGGATATCTTTACCTGCCATGAACACACGGAGACGTGCCGATAACAGCATGACCGTAAGTGATGCGGTGATGCAGACGGGCGGGTGGGGGAGTTGCATGAGGTCAGCTCAGGGCGCAGAGAGCGATGAGGAGGGGTGGTGAGAGGAGTGTACGAGTAGAGTGGGATCAGAGTCAGTGGAGTGCGGGTGGGGTGAGGGTTTGGTGAGAGTGAGTGGACTGAGTGAGAGTGTGGTGGGAGTGAGTGGACTGAGTGAGAGTGTGGTGGGAGTGAGTGGGGTGAGGGTGAGTGGGTGAGAGTGAGTGGAGTTAGAATGAGTGGAGTGCCATTGGGGTGGGAGTGGGGTGAGAGTGGAGTGTGAGTGAGGTAGGAGTGAGTGGGGTGGGAGTGAGTGGGGTGAGAGTGGAGTGTGAGTGAGGTAGGAGTGAGTGGGGTGAAAGTGAGTGGGGAGTGAGTGGAGTGTGAGTGAGGTAGGAGTGAGTGGGGTGAGAGTGGAGTGTGAGTGAGGTAGGAGTGAGTGGGGTGGGAGTGAGTGGGGTGAGAGTGGAGTGTGAGTGAGGTAGGAGTGAGTGAAATGGGAGTGAGTGGAGTGTGAGTGGAGTGGGATGTGAGTGGGGTGAGAGTAGGGTGGGAGTGAGTGGAGTGTGAGTGAGTGGAGTGTGAGTGGGGTGGGAGTGGGGTGGGAGTGAGTGGAGTGCGACACAGACAAGGTATTCACATAGCGAGTGGTGTTCTGTTTGTCTTGTCCTGACTTAGTTATTGAGTTTCACGCTTACTGAATTAAAATCATATTCATAAGAAATAGAGAAGAAGAACTCCAGTTGATGGTGTTTATTGCGGACATTAAACACCTCCCTGTATGCGTCTTGGCGGGGAGCGGTGGTGCAGTGGTTAGCACACTACGCGACAAACCCGGCAAAAATAATTGAAACCGGGCCCTGGGCATCCCCTAGGTTGACTCAGCCTTAAATGAGTACCTCGTGCGATGTGTAAAACATCATAATGGGGGGGGGGGAGACAAATGCGGTTGTGGTCACCAACCCCCATCGCGTGCCGTGCCGGCCTTCGGAGGCGTCACTCGCGAGCGGTCTGCTGAAGGCTCAGAATCAGCATATAGTTTACACTGGAGGCTCTTGTTCTATTCACAGACGGGAGGATTTGTTGTCTGCGATCGATTCTGTTGTTGACGCAAGAGCGGAGCTGCCCGGATCTGGGCGTTGAGTCCCCGGTCGGAGTGCGAGGAGTCCCGTGAGCTGCAGAATTTCCCCGTGAATGCCCCAGAATGCTCGAAATATCCACCCCGGGGCCGCCCACGCTCCGCGTGTCCCGTGCCAGGCAGCCTCGGGTGTCGCCACCGGGCAGGGTCGCAGTGGGGATGAGAGGCGAGTGAAGGTGGGGGCGACCAGGGTGGTGGCGGTGATTGGTGGTGAGTGGTGGTGGTGTCATCAGCGAGGGTTTAAAGTGCCGTGGTTTCTCCTCCACCACGTGCAGGCCCCGCCCCGCGGGTCTCAGGTTTCGGTCTCTCGGGTCGAGGCGAGAAAGGGGAAGCGGCGGAGAGCCCCTCCAAGGGCTCTGTTTTGAGTTTCGATTCCGCCCGACCAACAACAACTCAGGCGTGGGTCCAGTCACAGTTCAGGTGAGTACAGTGACAGTTCAGGTGTGAGTACAGTCACAGTTCAGGTGAGTGTCCAGTCACTGCTGAATGAGGGCCTGGGCGTGAAGGCGCTTTGACCATCCTTGACCACCGCTGTCAGTACCGGTTGGTGAATGCTGGGGGAGGGAGCGGGGAGTGGTGGACAACAACAGTGGTGGATGCTGGCTGCGTCCCCTGCGTCCACCCCACGCCTGAACACCTTCACCTGAACACCTCCACCTGCGCCTCCCGCTCGCCCGTCCAGAGCACGCGAGGCCAGGCTCAGAGCGTGCTCAGCCTGCGAGGCGTGCCGAGTCCCAGTCGAGAGAGACGGACGCGTGATCTCGAGGGTAATGCCACCACCCCCTGCCATCGTCTCTCGGTGCCCATCGACCCACGAGTGGCAACTCGCTCGCTGACGGCCGCCTGGAGCAGACTCGGCCAGAGCCAGGAGGCATCGTGGTGTTGGTGGTGCTGGGTGGTGGTTGGTGGTGGTGCTGGGTGGTGGTGATTGTGCTGGTTGTTAGTGGTGGTGGTGCTAGTTGGTGGTGCTGGTTGGTGGTGGTGGTGCTGGTTGGTGGTGGTTGGTGGTGCTAGTTGGTGGTGCTGGTTGGTGGTGGTGGTGCTGGTTGATGGTGGTGGTTGGTGGTGGTGGTGCTGGTTGGTGGTGGTGGTTGGTGGTGGTGTTGCTGGTTGGTGGTGGTGGTGCTGGTTGGTGGTGCTGGTTGATGGTGGTGGTGGTGGTGCTGCTGGTTAGTGGTGCTGGTTGGTGGTGGTGGTGCTAGTTGGTGCTGGTTGGTGGTGGTGGTGGTGCTGGTTAGTGGTGCTGGTTGGTGGTGGTGGTGCTAGTTGGTGCTGGTTGGTGGTGGTGGTGGTGGTGGTGGTGGTGGTGGTGGTGGTGGTTGGTGGTGGTGCTGGTTGGTGGTGGTGGTTGGTGGTGGTGGTGGTTGGTGGTGCTGGTTGGTGGTGGTGGTGGTTGGTGGTGCTAGTTGGTGGTGGTGCTGGTTGGTGGTGGTGGTGGTGGTGGTGGTGGTGGTGGTTGGTGGTGGTGGTGGTGGTGGTGGTGGTGGTGGTGGTGGTGGTTGGTGGTGATGCTGGTTGGTGGTGATGCTCTTCATTGGAGTTCATCACTGGAACTCATCACGAGCTCAGTCGCTCGCGGGAGTGTCCGTGCCGAGGCAGGAGCTGCGATGGAGTTGAGGGTGGCGGGGGGTGGTGGCGGCAGTGGTGTGGGGGGGGGGGCAGTGGTGTGGGGGGGGGGCAGTGGTGTGGGGGGAGCAGTGGTGTGGGGGGGGCAGTGGTGTGGGGGGGGCGGCAGTGGTGTGGGGGGGGGCGGCAGTGGTGTGGGGGGGGCGGCAGTGGTGGGGGGGGGGCGCTGTTGAGAGGGCGGCTCCGCGTTGTTTTTGTTTCAGGCAGCCGCGGGAGACTGCGCGGCGGGAGTTGGGGGGGGCGAAGTGAGGGGGGGGGGCGACGTGGGGGGGGGCGAGGTGAGGGGGGGCGAGGTGGGGGGGGTGTCCAGGTGAGAAGATGTCCCGTGAACACGAGGGACCGGTGGGGAGATGAAAAAGTGTCAACTCAAACACATGAACAGGTAAACGGGTGGACAGCTCTCAAAGTGAACAAATGAAGAGGTGAACAACGAATGAACGGGTGTCCAAGTCTGTGCCGTATGTGCAAAGGTGAACCACACGAGCGGCTGATCGCGTCAACAGGTGCGAAGGTAAACAGATCGAGGGCCCAGGTGATCAAGCGAACAGAGATGCCAGGGTGTACAAACGGCACCAGGTAAGCGGGTGAACACGTGAACCGATAAATCCGCGACCAGGTGGACGGTGTGACCACGTGTCCGCCCACGTGTCCAATTCGACAAGTGCATGATGGGAGAGTGCGGCTGTCTTCGTGAACGACAGCCGCTCTCGCGCGAGGTGCACGGCGCGCTTTTGTTTTTGATTCCCCGAGAATGGACGCGGGGTCGTGGCTCCCGAGGAAGCTCGAAGCCCACGGAGAGAGCGGCAGCGATTGAATGTTCCGAGCAGCAGCAACAACAACAGCAGCGGCAGCAGCAACAGCAGCAACAACAACAGCAGCGACAGCAGCAGCAAGACGCGTGCTCAATGTGTGTTGGAGTCTGTCTTGTCATCACACCATCATCATACCACCAGCAGGATCGTCATCGCCACGAGCACCAATACTAATCAACCACCACCAACGTCTTCATCACTATCACGACCATCAACGCCACAATTACCGCCGATATATAATTAGAAACACCACCAACATCGTCACCACCACCACCGTTGTTTGTAATAAAACGGCGGTGCTCTGTGCGGTAGCCAATCACCGTGAATTTTATTCTCTCGACACTCACCGCACAGGACAAAACCACGAAAGCCGCAGCGCACACGGACCCCAGGGGGCCCCCGGGGACACCTCCACACACCGGGGCCAAAGGGGATCCAGTGAAGGGGGTTACCGTCCCCGGCCACGTGTGTGAACTGTGGGGTTGATCCAGCCTTGGCGGGGTAGAGGGGTCGCTGGGGGGGGGGGGGGCGGAGTCTTCCTCTTTGTGAAGGGAGGTGAGGCCGTGGGAGCCGAGACTCCACATTACCGAAGCTCCACTCCCGCGGAGCTCCTGATGCCAGAGCTTCTCGGCTCCACGACGGTGTTTGTCTGCTCCATTCCGGAGTTTCTGGTCTCCGGTTGCCAGAGTTTAATGGCCCCATGTCAGGGTTTACAGTTGGCAGTCGCTGGAATATATCGGCTCCGTGCCAGAGTTCTATGTCCATCCCACGTTTTCTCGACTCCATTCCGAAGTTTTTTTAATATTCCACGCCAAAGTTTCTCCGTTCCACGCCGGAGTTTCTTTGCTTCGCTATCCGGGTTTTCTCCGCGGTCGAGTTTCTCTACATAGCATATAGCCCCCGACTCGATATCAATGGATTGTAAGTTAATAACGACGACAACAATAAATAGTAAATTATGCAAATCAGTCACTCGCTGACTGCCACTTGATTCAGGATCAGAGCAGAAGCGGATTTCGATATAAATCAGCGCAGCAACGTTGGGAGAAGATTCAAAAGACGAGTGGAGAGGATGACGAGGTGCTTGGAGTGACGGTGAGAAAGCGGTGTTGTGTCCGTGTGTGGGTGTGTGGATGGATGTGTGTCCGTGTGTGGGTGTGTGGATGGGTGAGTGGGGAGCGGTAGTGTAGGTGGTAGCGCTACGCTGCGCTACAAACCCGGCGACCCGAGTTCCATTCCCGCTCACGGCCAATACCAGTGGCGATTATCTGAACCGGTTCTGGACCTCCCCGAGATCGAATTAAGCATCAAATGAGTACCTGGTGAAGTGTGTAAACATTGTCACTGGGGAGACAAAGGCGGTCGGGCGTGGTACTGGCCACTTACCCCCTCGTGTGCCGTTCCGGCCTTCAAGGGTGCCCGTTAACAGCACTTGCCCCTCCAGTCTGTTAAGGCTATACGGGGGATCTTTGTCTTTGTGGGGTGGTTGTTTGTGCACACACCCAGAGCCGCCCAGTGGGGGAGCCGCTGGACCTCACACGAGAGAAAATCCCCACAAGGGGCCGGCGGATGGTGACGCCGTCGGGGGGGGGGGGGGGTCCCCACGTGGCATTCTTCCGCGGGTCCCCGGGCCCCTGAGTGGAGGCGCGTGGCTCCCCCCCTGAGTGGAGGCGCGTGGCTCCCCCCCTGAGTGGAGGCGCGTGGCTCCCCCCCTGAGTGGAGGCGCGTGGCTCCCTACGAGGCGGAGCGGCAGCAGAGCACCTTGCGGAAGACGCCGCGGAACTCGGCGTTGAAGGCCGTGTAGATGATGGGGTTCACGGCGCTGTTCACGTAGCCGAGCCACGTGACGACGCTCACGAGCGCCGCGCTGACGCCGCACTCTGCGCAGAGCGCGTGCGTCACGTGCACCACGAAGAAGGGCGTCCAGCAGGCGAGGAACACTCCTGGGGAGGGGGGGGGCAGGAGGAGACGAGGCTCACCCGCGCAGTGCCCTAACTCACTCGATCGCCCACCCGCGTCAGTCTTTCACTCAGCGACTCACCCACCCACGCGATCACTCGTTTGCTCGGCCATTCATTTGCTTCAAGCTACTCGACAATTCAATAAACTGCTCGCTCTGTCACTCACTCACTTGCCCATTCACCCATCAATATAGTCACCAAACCACCCACACTCGCTCGGCCGTTCACTTAACTCAACAACTCACTTGACCATGCACTCGCTAACTCACTCACCCACTCGCTCGCTCGCTCATTAACTCCCCCCACCTACTCACTCGCCCGCCAACTCACTCGCTCAAAGCAGCAGCTGAGAGTAGCAGCCCTGTTCGCCGCGACATGTGCAGCAACACCTCTCTGAGAATGAAAACGTCGGGTTGACTGCCGCGCGGTGAACTCGTCTCCGCGGTAGCGTGCGTGGGAACGTCTGCACCCCCTGATGTGTGGAATGTTTAAAACAAATTAAGATCACGAGTTGAAGACATCTCGCAGCGGTAGTTCTGCGAAATCTGCTTCCTCGGGCAATTCGTTCCCTAGCACAGAGAACGCGGTGACGGCACGGCTCTCGGAGGGCTCTGGGCGGGACATTGCATCTCGTGCCACGGCAGCACAAGCCATTGGCATGAAATACTGGGAGAAGTAAAATGTAAACGGAACACGGAGCGCCGTGTTCTTCTTTGGTCACCGATCGAGTTCCCTGCGCGCCGCGCGGGAGGCCCACGCGAGTCACGGCTGCTGCGCGTTGCGCATCGATCGATCGATCGAGAGCCGTGCCCTTCCTGCACCCCAGCCATGCTCTTCCAGGCATGCCCATGACAAGGTGTGTGTGCAGGTACACGCGTGCCGAGGTACACGCGTGCCCAGGTACACGCGTGCCCAGGTACACGCGTGTCTAGGTACACGTGTTCTCAGGTACACGCGTTCTTAGGTACACGCGTGCCCAGGTACACGCGTGTCTAGGTACACGAGTGTCTAGGTACACGTGTTCTCAGGTACACGTGTTCTCAGGTACACGCCTGCCCAGGTACACACATGTTCTCAGGTACACGCGTGCCCAGGTACACGTGTGTCACGGCACAGGCGTTACTCAGGCTACGAGGGCCGCGGCGCGCGTTCCCCGAGTGGCGCCGCGCGAGGCGCAGTCACAGCGAGGTTTTAAATCCCGCGACCACCATCAGCACCCCGTCCCCTCGCTGGAGCGTGAGGCTCGTAATTAACGACGCAGTGGGGGGGGGGCGGGGATTGCAAATCTCGAGGCGTCGACGGTTCCCGACGCGGCGACCCGACCCCCCGGTCCATGGCGACATCAAAGCCGAGTGGTTTCCCCCCCCCCCCGCCCCGCTCAATATCGGCATCGCTCCCCTTTAGATATCAAAAGGAATAATTTCCCTTTATACCGATCGCTTCCCTCCCTTCCTCTCATCCCTCCTCCACCACCACCGCGCCTCCTCACCCCTGCCCTGCCCCCACCACGCACGCACCGTGCGCCCTGACACCTCCCCAGCTCAAACAAAAGTTGCTGGGCGGCGGGTGACACGTGGCAAGTTACAGGTGAGGTGCGAGACGCGTGACAGGTGGCAGCACACACGTGGCACGCCAAAGGTGCGATGGTATCGGCTTGACAGCAATGACGGGCGGCAGCTGTCATGTGTCAGGCGACAGCTGACGGGTTGGTTAGGCTGCAGGTGACAGATGATATAGGTCCTGGCTGACAGGTGGCGCGTGGCGTGACATGAGCTACGGAGTTTGTTGTCCTTCCCCCGTACCACCGATTAGCACGGATCGCGCCGTACGGTGCGAAAGAAGTTCACCGTACGGTGGGGAGACAGAGACGCGTACATTGGGAGCTCACCCAGAGAGCAGCGTAGCCTCGCCCCGCGTTCGAGAACGGCCTCGGAAAGTTGATATGGCAGAACTACTTTTGAGAGCCCTGCGATTGCTGCTCGTAAACTCTGGGTGGGCGCTGCGACTGTTCACAATCCCTGCTGAGAGGGGAGCGTCTCTGTTGAAACCTCAACAGCAACAACATGAACCGCTCCCCGACACGTCGAAGCCGAGTTAAGTGAAAAGTAATTTGGGGAATGTTTTGTGTGCGATCGTTAACTGGCTGAGACCATCAACCTCGCTACCCTGGTCAACCGGGTTCAATCAAAATCCGAAGTAGAACCCACAGGGACTCCACAGTGCCGTCTTTGTATCTCCGACATGGCCATTATGAGCCCCTCCACTAACCTACCACTCCACTCACCTACCACGCCACTCACCTACCACGCCACTCACCTACCACTCCACTCACCTACCACGCCACTCACCTACCACTCCACTCACCTACCACGCCACTCACCTACCACTCCACTCACCTACCACGCCACTCACCTACCACTCCACTCACCTACCACTCCACTCCACTCACCTACCACTCCACTCACCTACCACTCCACTCACCTACCACTCCACTCCACTCACCTACCACTCCACTCACCTACCACTCCACTCACCTACCACTCCACTCACCTACCACGCCACTCACCTACCACTCCACTCACCTACCACTCCACTCCACTCACCTACCACGCCACTCACCTACCACTCCACTCACCTACCACGCCACTCACCTACCACTCCACTCACCTACCACTCCACTCACCTACCACGCCACTCACCTACCACTCCATTCACCTACCACGCCACTCACCTACCACTCCACTCACCTACCACTCCACTCACCTACCACGCCACTCACCTACCTCTCCACTCACCTACCGCTCCACTCACCTACCATGCCACTCACCTACCGCTCCACTCACCTACCACTCCACTCACCTACCACGCCACTCACCTACCACTCCACTCACCTACCACGCCACTCACCTACCACGCCACTCACCTACCACTCCACTCACCTACCACTCCACTCACCTACCACGCCACTCACATACCACTCCACTCACCTACCACTCCACTCACCTACCACTCCACTCACCTACCACTCCACTCACCTACCACGCTACTCACCTACCACTCCACTCACCTACCACTCCACTCACCTACCACTCCACTCACCTACCACTCCACTCACCTACCACGCCACTCACCTACCACTCCACTCACCTACCACTCCACTCGCCTACCACTCCACTCACCTACCACGCTACTCACCTACCACGCCACTCACCTACCACTCCACTCACCTACCACTCCACTCACCTACCACGCCACTCACCTACCACGCCACTCACCTACCACGCCACTCACCTACCACTCCACTCACCTACCACGCCACTCACCTACCACGCCACTCACATACCACTCCACTCACCTACCACGCTACTCACCTACCACGCCACTCACATACCACGCCACTCACCTACCACTCCACTCACCTACCACGCCACTCACCTACCACGCCACTCACATACCACTCCACTCACCTACCACGCCACTCACCTACCACGCCACTCACATACCACGCCACTCACCTACCACTCCACTCACCTACCACTCCACTCACCTACTACAATGGGCAGCACCCGCATCGCCTTCTGCTCCCTGCCGCTCATTCTCCGCCCGCCCCGGCACGGCCGCTCCCCGCCCCGACCCCTTCTCGGCCGGGGTCCCTGTGCGGGGGGCAGACCCCCCCCGCAGGGACCCCCGCTGTGTCCCTCCGGGTGCTCCTCCTCCTCCTCCTCTTCATCGTCCGCTCGGGGGATGTCGACACTCGGGGGCCCCGCCGCCGCGCACGAGACCCCATCTCCTCCTCCTCCTCCTGCCGGGGGGCTCGGCGTCGGGGCCCCCCGAGGGAGGAAGGCGACAGCGGCAGGGCCGGGGAGGTATCCCGCCTTCTGCTGCTGCTGCTGCTGCTCGAATCTACCCCCAGCGTCCCCTTGCAGGGGGGGCGCCCTCCCTCGACCATTCCCCAGCGCCTCCCCCCCCGCCGGTGCCGCCGGTGCCGCCGCAGCCCCGGCCCCGGCCTTGCGCGCTTCGCGGGGGCCGCGGCCCGAACCGTCGGCCCGGCTCCGGCTCCTTCGAGAGCGGCGCCACCGCCGGAGTCCGCGCAGGATCCAGTAGTAGAGCGCCAGCATGATGGGGCAGGGCACGAAGAAGGAGCACACGGACGAGTAGAGCACGAAGCTGCTGCTCTCCAGGCGGCACACGGCCGGGTCGCGGCGCTCCACGTCGTTGAGGCCGAAGATGACGGGGCTGGCGACGCCGAGCGACAGCACCCACGTGGCGCCAATGAGCACCAGCTGGCGGCAGCCGAAGCGGCTGCGGTTGTACTGGAAGGGCACCACCACGGCGATATACCTGTGGACAACCACCACCACCACCTCACCACTACCATCACCTCACTGCCACCACCACCACCCCACCACCACCACCTCACCACCACCACCTCACCACCACCACCTCACCACCACCACCTCACCACCACCACCTCACCACCACCACCACCACCTCACCACCACCACCACCTCACCACCACCACCTCACCACCACCACCACCTCACCACCACCACCTCACCACCACCACCTCACCACCACCACCACCCACCACCCCGCACCCACGCGAGGCCGGGAGAGGCTTTGCTTGAACACAAATCGCGGAGGTGTAAATGTTGCGTCGTACACCCTCCTCCACCCGACGCAGCAGCCAATTACAATTGCAGCACCGAGCGCGTTGTGCGCTCTTCCAAGACGAGAGGCAACTCTCACGTGATGCACACCCCGCCCTGAGACGCGGAGTGGGTTGAGTTGGGTGAGAGTCGTGAGCGTGGTGAGTGGGCTGTGTGTGTGGTGAGTGAGTGAGTGTGGTAAGTGTGGTGAGTGTGGTGTGTGTGGTGAGTGTGTGGGGTGAGTGTGTGGGGTGAGTGTGGGGTGAGTGTGGTGAGTGGGCTGTGCGTGTGGTGAGTGTGTGGGGTGAGTGTGGTGTGTGTAGTGAGTGTGTGGGGTGAGTGTGTTGGGTGAGTGTGTGGGGTGAGTGTGGTGAGAGTGTGTGGTGAGTGTGGTGAGTGTGTGGGGTGAGTGTGTGGGGTGAGTGTGTGGGGTGAGTGTGTGGGGTGAGTGTGGTGAGTGTAGTGAGTGTGTGGGGTGAGTGTGTGGGGTGAGTGTGGCGTGTGTGGTGAGTGTGTGGGGTGAGTGTGGTGAGTGTGTGTGGTGAGTGTGGTGAGTGTGTGGGGTGAGTGTAGTGAGTGTGTGGGGTGAGTGTGTGGGGTGAGAGTCGTGAGCGTGGTGAGTAGGCTGTGTGTGGGGTGAGTGTGTGGGGTGAGTGTGGCGAGTGGGCTGTGTGTGGGGTGAATGTGTGTGGTGAGTGTGTGTGGTAAGTGTGGTGATTGTGTGGGGTGAGTGTGGTGAGTGGCCATGGCCCCGGGTTGTTTGAGGAGGCACTGAGCTTCGGCCACATCCGCCTCTCACCCGTCCCTCCTGCCGCAGAAGCAGAGACACTGACGCCGCAGCAGTGCGTGGCCAAACCTTGACAAATACCGCTGCTGCTGCTGATGCTACTGATGATCATCCTCCGACAGCAACTCCTGATGATGATTCTGCTGTTGATGATGACGATGCTTATAATGCTGCTGGTGACGATGCTACTGCTGCTACTGATGCTTATGATGATGCTACTGCTGCTGCTGATGATGCTGCTGCTGATGATGCTACTGCTGTTGCTGATGATGATGCTACTGCTGATGCTGCTGCTACTGCTGCTGTTGCTGATGCTGCTGATGATGATGCTACTGCTGCTGCTGGTGACGATGCTGCTACTGTCGATGATGACCGCGATGGAGATGAACCGCACCTGTCCACACTTATCGCGCACAAGTTGAAGATGGAGGCAGTGCACAGCATCACGTCCATCGTCATGAGCGCGTCGCACAGAGCCGTGCTCAGGGTCCACGTGCCCCCCAGAAACTGCAGAGAACGGGGGGGGGGGGGTAACAGTGGCGAACGGGCGGGGAGGGGAGGTGATGTCAGACTCCATGGGCATGGCGTCACACCCAGGTAATTAAGCCTCAACGCTCCGATGATAATGATTATGGGGGACTATCAATCACCCTCATCATCATTATCAATTAAGATGTCACCTCATCCCACATTACTTGGCTCCACCGAGCGCGCAGCGCGGCCTTGCCAGTGGCCCCGCGCCTCACGGATCACGGCTTGGCCATCAATCAGAGAAGCCGCTCCTCGCGCCGCGGCGCCTTTCAATTAAGAGCAGCGACCCGGGCAGTGCGGACAGCGGTCACGAAGCCCCACGCGCGCCCTCTCGTCCAGGTGCCGCTGGTGGTGCGGCGGGGGGCGGGCGGGCGAGCGGGGAGAGGGCTCCAGGAGTGGCCTCGTGATGGGTATCTGTGTCGCCAGCGGCTGCTGGAAGTGGGCAGCGGTGCTGCTACGCGCTCCGCGGTTTGCGATGTAGACTCACGTGGAGACTCACAGGCTCGCATAGCGACCGATGGACCTACATAGAGAGCCACAGACTCAACTATAAATGGCTTCACGCGTCGCTTCACGGTGAAAATATCTGGTGATTTGAGATACAGACTCATACGGAGACTCGCATACTTACACAGAGGCCAACAGACCTGCACAGATACCCAAAGGTTCAAGTAGAGGTGGCTTCAGAAAATGCTTTCGCCTGTGGTGATAATGATGATTGGTGCCAGCAGCAAGCGCACTGTGGGCTGCCCCAAATTGTCCACCGGTGCACGGAATCTGCCCAATGTTGTGATGCATTGTGGTGGAGGTGCCAGGGGACATCTCTAGGGATTGTAATCTCGTTGTGGTGCAGATGCCAGGGGACATCTCTAGGGATTGTGGTGGAGATGCAGTTGAGGCGGTGTTAGAGGCCGCAACGTGTTCCGTAGCGCGCGAGGTGCGTAGAGACATCGGCGTCATCATCATGTACGTCACCGCCGTCCACGTCACGTCTACCGGCTACACAGTACCATCATCAGCGTCGTTGTCCTTATTACCATCATCGCCACCACCACTTCCACCAACTACCACCATCGTAGTCGTCGTCGTCACAATCATCTATTCATCACCAACCACAATTACCACGACCACCAACCATCGCCATCAGCCCTAACCACCACAACGTCGTCATCACGAACATCAGTTTGTTGCTCTTCCCCGTACCGCCTATTGGAAGGGTTGACTCCGTACGGTGCGAAAGAAGTGAAACGTACATACATTACTACCACCACCTAATACCATCGCCATCATCACGAACCTCCACCGTAACCACCGCAACCGTCCTAACCCATCCCCCGTCACATTAATAATCAACCCGAACCACCACTTAATAATAATTATCATAATTTACACTTATTAGGCGCCTCTCAACTCAACATCACCAGGACGACCAACTGTCCACGATTACATCCACCACCTCCATCACCACCACTACAAAAAAAAGATCCCCCGTATAGCCTTAACAGACTGTAGGGGCAAGTCCTGTTAGCGAGCACCCATGAAAGCCGGCACGGCACACGAGGGGGGGGGGGGGGTGGCCAACACCACGCCCGGTCGCCTTTGTCCTCCCAGTGGCGATGTTTACACATTGCACCGGGAACTCATTTGAGGTTGAGTCGACCTCGGGGAGGTCCGGGACCGGTTCAGATAATCGTCACTGGTGTTGGCCGTGAGCGGGAATCGAACTCGGGTTGCCAGGTTCGTAGCGCAGCGTAGCGCTAACCGCTACACTACCGCTCCCCACACCACCACCACTACCACCACCTCCATCACCACCACGACCACCATTCGCACCAAGCGTCATCTATCTCTGCCAGCTCCATCACCACTGCTCACCTCCATCACTTCCGATATCACGTAATGTCATCCAAACTGTCATCATCACCACCCACCAGCACCACCATCTCTTCCATCACCTACACTGTCACAAAGCGACATCCGTCTCTCATCACCACCACCACCACGGCAGCACCACATTGGGACGCACCTCTGCGTAGACGTAGAGCGGCAGCACGAGTACGGCGAGCAGGAGGTCTGCCACGGCGAGGCTCACGATGAAGTAGTTGGTGGCCGTCTTGAGCGCCTTCTCCGTGAACACGCTCAGGCACACGAGGACGTTGCCCAGGATGATGACCGCGATGAGCGCCACCCCCAGCGTCAGCGCCGCGTAATTGTGCTCCAGGGGGATCGCCGCAGCACGACCCGTGTCCCCCTCCTCCTCGGCCGAGGCCAGCCCCGACCCCAGCTCGGGCCCGAACCCGGCCCCCGGCCACGACCCCGGCGCCGAGAGGTTCCATGGCGCCGCGGGCCGCGTTCCGTTCGCCGCGAGACTCAGCGCAGGGAGCTCAGAGGCCGCGCCGGGGCCGCTCATGGCGCGTGCAGCGTGGCATTGGAGACGCCCTGCCGCTGGTGGTAGTTGTGGTGGTGCTGCTGCTGGTAGTTGTGGTGGTGCTGCTGGTAGTTGTGGTGCTGCTGCTGGTAGTTGTGGTGGTGCTGCTGGTAGTTGTGGTGCTGCTGCTGGTAGTTGTGGTGGTGCTGATGGTAGTTGTGGTGCTGCTGCTGCTGGTAGTGATATCGACGATGGAGATGATGTAGGTGATGGTTGTTGTTAGGGTTGATGGTAACAACAACAACACGACTACTGCTACGTGTGGACTTTGAACTTATTTCACACCCCAGGTCGACAACCGCGCTCGGGGTCGGTCCCCGGCATGGAGCCCCGCGGGGACGCGGATCCCGGCACCGAACCAGACTCCTGGAGACGCCAAGAGGCTGGTGACTGGTGAGGTGGAGACGCCGAGAGGCTGGTGAGGTGGAGACGCCGAGAGGCTGGTGAGGTGGAGACGCCCCGGGCTGGATGAAGCTCGTGGCGTCGTGCCGAGGAGGCGGGGGACAGGGGGGGGTCTATGGGGGGCGCCTCCCTCCCTCAGGAAAGGCGCGCAACGCGGAGCGGCTCCCGCGGGTCCCACGCGCGAGGCGCTCCGCTCCGGCTCGGAGTCTCCGCAGCGCGACAGCAGCCCGGGGTGGAGACGGGGCGCGAGGCGCCGAGTACGAGGAGGAGGAGCGGGCAGTGAGCAGCGACGTTGTTTTTAGTTCCTCTTGAGGTCTCCTCGCTTCGACGGAACCCTCACGAGGCGCGCCAAGACCCGCGCGTGTTGCGCTACCACGCGCGATGGTGGTGGAGGTGGTGGTGCTGGTGGTGGTGCTGGTGGTGGTGGTGCTGGTGGTGCTGGTGGTAGTGGTGCTGGTGGTGGTGGTGTTGGTGGTGGTGGACTGGAGGGACAGATGGATCCGTTCTGTCCTCCAGTGTCTCCTGCACGCGGGGGTTTTCGAGACGCGTTGCACCCACGTCCCACAAACGTGCGCAACCACTACCACCACCACCAACAACAGCAGCAGCAGCGGCGGTGTTGTGAATGAATGTAAATCACGGCGCGTGGCCGCGCAGCGACCGCACGAGGGTTCGAGTCGGGGGTCCGCGTGGCGGCCGCGTCTCTCCGCGCGCCTCTCCGCGCGCCGCGGCAGCGGGGGGCCGAGGGGCGCACGAGTCCGGGCAGAGGGCGAGGGATGAATCGGCAGAGATCCCCTCGATGCAGACTCCGCGGTTTATGTGCGCAGCGCACACAGCTAGCACATATCCACAAATACTCTCTCTCTAACTCACACTCTCTCTCTACCTCACACTCTCTCTCTGTGAGTCTCTCTCACACTCTCTCTACCTCACACTCTCTCTCTCTGTGATTCTCTCTCTACCTCACACACTCTCTCTCTCGCTCTCTCCCTCACACTCACGCTCTCTCGCTGTGATTCTCTCTCGCGCTCTCTCACGCTCACGGAGGAGTGAGCAGTGGAAACTGCAGCCCCCCCTCCAACGACGGCGAGGACGCGCGTGCGCTCCTCCCCTTGGCGCGACGCAAAGCGAAATAAATAAATATATCTCAGTGCACGGAGTGGGACGGGGTCGCGCGCGAGGGGGCAGCACGGAACGTCTGACAGTGCAGGACGAGAAGGAGCCGCGCTTCGACCGGAAATTGATTAATCAAATTATGCAATGAATGAGTGATCGAATTGAGCGGGAGACGAGGGGGGGCACGGAGAGGTGGGAGACGATGAGAGGGAGGGGACTGGGGGAGGTGGGAGACGTTGAGAGGGAGGGGACTGGGGGAGGTGGGAGACGTTGAGAGGAGGGAGACTGGGGGGGTGGGAGACGTTGAGAGGGGGGAGACTGGGGGAGGTGGGAGACGTTGAGAGGGGGGAGACTGGGGGAGGTGGGAGACGTTGAGAGGGGGGAGACTGGGGAGGTGGGAGACGTTGAGATGGAGGAGACTGGGGGAGGTGGGAGACGTTGAGAGGGGGGAGACTGGGGGAGGTGGGAGACGTTGAGATGGAGGAGACTGGGGGAGGTGGGAGACGTTGAGATGGAGGAGACTGGGGGAGGTGGGAGACGTTGAGAGGAGGGAGACTGGGGGGGGGGGTGGCGTTGGGAGGGGGGAGACTGGGGGAGGTGGGAGACGTTGAGAGGGGGGAGACTGGGGGAGGTGGGAGACGTTGAGAGGAGGGAGACTGGGGGGGGGGGAGACGTTGAGAGGGGGGAGACTGGGGGAGGTGGGAGACGTTGAGAGGGGGGGAGACTGGGGGGGTGGGAGACGTTGAGAGGGGGGAGACGTTGAGAGGGGTGGGACTGGGGGAGGGGGGAGGGGGGACTGGGGGGGGGCGAGGGGAGATAAAAGTGGCTCGCGATACATCGCGGCTACAGAGGTCGCCATGGCGACGCCGGTGGCATGGTGGATTTGGCGCGCGTCCAATGGGATTAAGAGTGTCCGATGTTTGTGCATTTCTCTCTCTCTGCTCCCGCCGTGAATATAAGAAAAATAACTCTTACTGCAACAAAAACAAACATCCAAAAGTCACCCACAGGGCGAGGTGGCTCAGAGCGCTGAGCCGGGCACTGCTAAGAGCCTGAGTTCAAATCCATATTTCAGCCACCTGTGATGAAACCGGCTTCTCAGCCCTGGTCACAGACGACTGCCAACAACAAAAACACCCCCCACTCCATTAAATTTGGTTCCGCACTTGATTTGGAGAAATTCTATCTCCGAGATCTTAAATATCGGGTTGTATGTCGTGGGAGGGACGTTGCTGGCACATTGTCTGCCAGGGGTGAATATCGAGCAGGAGATGTCAGACACGCCGGCTCGGCTGACTCGCCCGTGAGTCACCACCCACACACCGCAGCTCGTTAACTCAGACGCGGCCCTCAATCTCCACCGTGTAAGTGACAATCCCCGTCACCCCCTCCAGCCCCTCTGGCGTGGACCAAACGCGTGCCACTTGGCGAGGAAGGCAACAGCGGCTGTCTGTTCGACTCGCCCTCAACAAAGGAACGTCGGATTTACACCGCTGGCACTGGGGACTGTGAAGAGATGAGACTCTGTGCCGAATTGAACGGGAAACAATTCGGAAAGTGAGTTGGATGCAGTTTGCCACTACAACCCCGCGTTCTGTGCGTGAGTGGGGAGGTAAGGGCTCTCAACTAGCGAATCAATGAGATGTAGCGATCCAGGCTCACGATTCCAACGAATAACCAATTTTTTTTTAAATGTGTAACACTGCAATTAATGTCACGGCCTCTTGTGGCTGGGTGAGTGGCGGGGTCCGGCAGCTGTGTTGAACCAAGCAGCGGCAGCCGAACGGCGTTTCCGCTCCTCAGAGAAAGTCCCCCTCCTCCTCCTCATCCTCTTCTTCTTCACCAGAGCAGCCAGCGGCCCAGGCGGCAGTGGTCGTGTCGGCGCTCGCGTCGCGGTTTTAGGCGAAACACGAGCTTCATAGCCCATCGGATTCCTCCAGCTATCAAGAATTATTCGCTTTACTTACCCAGCGAAAGCTGCCCTGGACACCACGAGGGAAGAGGCCACGTGGCAGGCCGAAGTCCACCTGGCGACGGCACCGTTCAAGACCAATGACAGACGACCCGGGGCGGCGTGGGCTTATTGCAGTCGTCACGCACGTGCTCCACGGGGAGCGAGGAGGAAGGAGGCAGTGTCTGACTCAGGACAAGTCTCGCGAGGGACCTGCATTGGGATGGATATTTGACCAATTGCATCGAGGGAGTCCGGTTTCGTTTGGGTGGGGAAATTCGAGAAGCCGTAGAGAATCCACCGCTCGGACGAGGAGACAACACGGCCAGGGCCCCGCACGGATGAGGCCAACCCCGCTGGGCGCACGAGGTGTGAGGGAGCGACTTGGCACGAGCGCGAAGGGCGAGGTGGGCACCTTCCACTCCAAACACCAGCGGCGGCTCGAGAAGGCACATTGTTCGCAGCGAACCCAACACCGGCGGTGGCGACACCGCCAGGAGCCTGACGCGCGGCGTGATCGTTACCGTCACGGGTTTATTAGACGCGGCATGGGGGCGCAGGGGGTTATTTTTTGCCATGGGGGAAAAAATCATTCACGCACTTAAAACCAACAAACATATCGGTCCACGCTCACGACGACTCATTAATTTCAAGAGACAACACAACCGAGATAACCGCGCAAAATCAAACGGAGCACAATGCACGACCTAGAGCGGTGAAGTATGGTCTAACAAACCCCCACGACTGACAGCGTGTGGAGGCCTTCATCCAGCAGCGGATAGAGACATGGCTGTAAAAGTATAAATGTTTTTAGTGGCATTATTATTCACACACAAATTGCCAATTATTTTACTCAGGAAAGCCTCAATGAGTTTCAATAATGATATATCTGGCGGGTCCTGCATTTGGGATGTTTGTCCAATTCTATGAATGTGTATTTGGTCTCCTGCTAAGCTTTGGTACCGGATACATCTCCTGCACCCGATGGGGCACCACTCAACGACACCCTCCCCTGTCCACATCTCACCCCCTTGCGAGCTCCGGTGGTCGCCCATCCAAGAACTAACCAGGCTCAAATCTGCTTCAGTTTCAGACATCCGACGAGATCCGAGGTCGGCTGCACAGCAGCGTGTTGCAGCGGTTCACGGTTCGATTCCAGCAGCCGCCCTGGTTAATACTGCGAGTGGATTAACTATAAAACATTATACGAGCCTTCTGCTTCCCGGAGGACGTTAAAGATCCCGCAACATAATTCGCAAGAGTTGACGAGTGAGTGCCGGTGTCAGGGTCCAAGTTGGCGAAATTTGCAGGAAAAAAACCTCAGTTTGAATATAGTGTAGGTAGCATCACATCCTCGTGCAGACACTTTGGCAAGACCCTCCGTTAAAAGGGTCACGAGACTCACCGAGGCTTTACTGGGTAAACAAGCGTAATCATAATAACAATAATAAATTCACGATGAATACATTACTACTGGATTCTGAATTGCAGCCGTGGCTTGATGCTGGCAGACCGCTCGCTTAGCATTGCGCCCGTGAGGGGCGCTTCATTTCCAGAGCACTTCAACATTAAGGATCAAAGCGGCTCAGATAAACACGAGCGCTGGCCCCTGGCTGACTGTGCCGCACATCCCGAGTCTTGCCCTGAACCCTGCCGCCGTGCCCGGATGGAATCAGACACTGCAGCGTCGCGTGTAACGCGCACTCAGCTACAGACTCGTCCGAGTCTCTTCCGAGTCTCTAGCCCAAGGCTCTGAGCTTAATAGCGACCACAACCAAATTCCGAACATAAACACGCGTACCACACAGAAGAACGCATATAAACACAAACAATGCCACCGGACACAGATACGGCACACACATACACACACCGCTTCAAACACGGATTTTCTCTGTGTAGTCATGCATACTGTTTTGACTTCATAGCACCTCTGAATGCCGGCACGGCACACAACGAGGTGAGTGGCCAGTACCACGCACACTCGGCCGCCTTTGTCTCCCTTGTTGCGATATTTACACACCAAGTGCCCATTTAAGGTTGTGTCACCTAGGAAAGGGTCGGCACGGGTTCAGATATTCGTCACCGATGTTTTCTGCGAGCGGGAATCGAACCTAGGTCGCCGGGTTCGTTGCACAACATGCTAACCATTGCGCCACCGCTCGCACGATGGTGATGACGACACGTGTATGAACACACGAAGAACCACTGCCGTTCTACACGGAGTGGCGGCGACGTGAGCACGACGCTTGTGCTAAGCTAAGGTGCACCTTGAGGTCACGTGAAGGCTGACAGGAGATCGTGAAGAGACCCAGGTGCCATGGATTGACTGGCTGAGATGACTAGCAGATGCACCACCTTTGCTCCCACTGTGCCAACTTGCTGCGCTTTGTCGGGCTGATTGGTAAGGCCCTATCTCTTAGTGACATGCTCCAGGTTCAGCAGTAGCATCTCCAACTCATTCTCAGAGTGGGCAGCAACTACCAGATCATTTGCATACATAACATAGTTGATCAATGTGAAGCCACCCATTAATCGCACCCAGGCATTGATGAGAGCCCCCATGTATCTATACCAGATGGGAAATCCACCGGTACATCCGCGGAAAGCTTCTAAAACGACGTGGCCGAAGATTGTTAACTAGAATGGGGGACAAAGGACATCCCTGTCGCACCCCAAGGCGAACAGGCAGTAGCTCTGACTCCCGCCCACACAGCTTTACCTGGGCCTACCCACCATCATGCACGTCCTTAATGATTGTGAGCAAAGGGTCAGGGACTACGAAAGCACGAATAATAACGCTGAGCCATTGCCTGTTGATGGTACCATAGGCCTTGACTAGGTCAATAAAGCAGAGAAGATGTAGGTCCTGTTGTAGTAGACAGATCACGTGTCGTCCGTACAGGACCGCCCCGGTCTGAAACCACATTGGGGCTCCGAAAGCTTCTCATCATGTCTGCC